TGAATGACTTTTCATTGTAGATTAATTATGAAAGTGAACTCTTAATAACTACAGTAATGAAGTGTACAATCCCTTGAGTCAATTTCCTTAGGAAAACAGCCTACTGATTAAAGTTGAAATAGAATAGAATTATAAAAAAACATTTTAAATATTGCAAATGTTTATCATGGTATACATAGAACAACAAACAAATGAAATGGGGGCAAAGGTTAAGGTGAAATAATCTTTTATTCACTGTTGATACCAGACAGTCAAGACATTTTTTTTTCTTTCAAGAAAACAATGTTAGACTGCTTATATATAAAGCAAAGGTTTTTTTCGAAAAAAAACCCAGCATACATGTACATTCATCAATAAAAAGTAAGCATCTGATGTTGAATGGTCGTAATTCAAATATTTATAGTGTGATTTTTATAATTACCAAAAAATATACAAATTTCATTTAGCTGATTTTTATAACATTGTGTGCTTACTAAAATCAAGAAATTTTAGGTAGATAAGTATTAAATTTTACCTGAAGCAGAAGAAAAACTCAATGTTTGAACAATTTATCCTTTTTGTCCCCACAAAACTATGTCAGTGCTATTTCATTCCATCCATTGAAATGATCATATTACCTATGTTATACATAATTCCTTTTATTAACCAAGTTAACACTTAGTGAATTCTTATAAAGGTTTGAATATTACAATGGGAAAGGATAATTTTGTAAGGTCACTTGAAGGTATAAATATGTTCTAAATTGGTCAGACAAGAATTGGTCATGTTTTATGAACATTTAAAACCCTCGGCTTCGCCTTGGGCTTTAAATCTTCATAAAACATAACCAAGTATTGTCTAACCTTTACGGAGTTCGGCACGCCAATCTTAAGCATGTTAAGTGTTATTCATGTTTACAAATTCTATTAACATGGATATTTATCTCCAAAGTAAAACTAGCTCAGTGTGACCTAATGTACTCTGCAAATTTTATAAGATAATTATGGTAATGAACAAAGGGTTACAATATCAAAACCAAAAATACCTACACAAAAAAACTTGATACCCAACTGTATTGAAATCTTAATATTTCCCACATGAACAAAATGAAGAATGTGTCCATGGAACACAGATGATGCCCCTGCTAGCATATAACATTATAAAGGGACATAACTAGAGAACTGTAAAAGTGACGCCACCCAAAATTCGAATTTGATCCGAGTTTTGTGGTAATTAGTATTGTGTATAAGTTTTTAACATTTGGTTGAGGCAAACTAAAGTTAGAAAACAGAAACCAATTTTGGGATGTACGGAGGGACAGACGTACATACGGACAAGGGCAATCCTTAATGCCCCCTCCACTTTGGTGGCGGCATAAAAATCAAGTAAAACAAGTTTTACTACACTTTTTAAAATTATATCCATTTCATAAAAATGTTTCCATTTTAAATTATTTGTCATTAGCATGTAAATTGTGTTTGCTTTTGCAGATACAATGACTTTCCCTCAAATGTAGATGATTACACCATGAAGGCTGTTTTTGATAAATGTTAAGATCTGTGCTTATCTATAGTCATATTTAAATGCAGCAACACTCATGTACTCAATGTGTACTTCTCAATAGGTCACTTGTTATTGAATGTAATTTATATACAGAAAATTTACCTCAATGTATTATTATGACATTCCTGTTCCAAGGAACTGGCAATTGGGCAATTGCATAAATGTGGAACAGTTCCATAGAAAGATGCATTTTTATTCATTTCTAAAATGATCTTAAATTAAGGGGAGTAACTATTTGATTTTTAAAGGGACTAAAAAGAAATCCGATGTAAAAAGGTAGACCAATAATTTAGCAAAAAATTTAGGATGACCCATGGCTTCAAGAGGAGAGGCAGGATTAATTATATTATTAACTTATTATGAATATTTATATTTAAAAGTGTTTTTGAGATGAAATTGAATAACAAAATAATAGCAATTACATGACAAATATAATGAGGGGGTGGACAGCTTTTGAGGGAGGTGGGAGGTGGGGCGGGAGGTGGGAGAGAAAAAAAGATTCTAAAAGTGGGAGGTGGGAGATAGGGGCGAGAGGTGGGAGAAGGGTACCCCCTGTCCACCCCCTCATATAATAGATTGTGTCACACAATATTTTTTATCTTTACAAACACAATTTGGGATGGGTATAAGAATCACCACTATGTCTTTGTTTCTTGTATATAAAGCACACCTCTTCTCAACAGTAACGAATTTCTATGAATGAGTATTAAATAGAAGTACACCATATTGAGATGTACAAGGGACAAAATAATTGTAGCACACACCTTTTTGGAAGAAGCAATAAAGCTGACAAAAAACAAGAATGTGTCCATAGTACACGGATGCCCCACTCGCACTATCATTTTCTATTCGGTGGACCGTGAAATTGGATAAAAAAACTCTAATTTGGCATTAAAATTAGAAAGATCATATCATAGGGAACATTTGTACTAAGTTTCAAATTGATTTGACTTCAACTTCATCAAAAACTACCTTGACCAAAAACTTTAAACTGAAGCGGGACAGATTGACGGACGAACGGACGAACGAACGGATGCACAGACCGAAAAACGTAATGCCCCTATGAGGGGCAAAAAAAATGTTGGTTTCATCTTTTCATCAGTCACATGGTCCTCATCATGACTTTGTTGTTAAGAGAAATTTCCATTTAACATTAGCTGCTGATTTACCTTGAATTGACTGTTTGCTGACTTGACATTAAAGAGACATTCCTTACTCTTCTGGATTAATGGAGTCCATTTCATGTTATCATTAGATTTTGGTGTGATCATATTTGTTTTTGTCTCACCTGCGACAAAAGTTGCAGAAAATACAAAACCCGTGCTAATCTGGCAACAGCTTAAAACTGAGACCTGAATGCTTCATATCTCCATGGTTTACCTGACCATGACCTCATTTCATGGATCAGTGATCAAGGTTAAGTTTTTGCAGTTTGATCTGTTTTCCAGAAACAATAAGGTCAGCTATACTTGGTGTATATAATGATTGTATATTGAACATGTCACTCTGGTGGAGTTAATCTGACCTTGACCTCATTTTCATGGCAAGGTCTGTTTCTCAGATATAGGTTACTATATTTTGTGTATGAAATGATTATAAGGTTACATGTCCCATTTGGCTGAGTTCATACATCCTTTTACATGGATCACTTGGGCATCGGTTCTGGTTTTGGTAAGAGTTGCATTGCAAAAGCTTTAGTTTAACATGGTAAATTGTAGCTGTTTGGAAATGTTTTTCTTGTTTGTTTGTACAACTATGTAGTTACTTTTGTCTTGGTTACTAATTGTCTTCTGAAATCTAAAAACTTTGTTTAAACAAAATTGGTCCAGCATCTTCAGCTTCTTTTGCACTGATGATGGATGGCTGTTTATCGTCCAGCTGTAAATTAAATGCATGACGAGAGCATGTTAATGTAATATGAATATTAATCCTGCATTGTAGTAGACCAACACGCTCAGCCAGGTTTTTAGCGTGCAAGTTCACAAGGTAACAGTCCCAAGGAAGACGCGTCACCCTACCCGAAAACATTATTCTGACTCCGAGCCAACCGGTCTTTGCTCTTACTCTTTAATTCCATATGCTTACCAAAGTAGCAGGGAATACCAATGTAAAATTCTTTGGTTCAATGACCCAGCCAGGGTTTGAACCCACAACCTCAAACACTCAACACCACCAAGGCGGTGTGTTGTGCACTGAGTGCAATCTTAGAAATATCCCCATAAATAGTGATTTGGAAAAAAATGCATTTCAGAAGATGTCTTCCTGTACTGTATACATAATGACATTGCTATATGAAATTTATTTCAAAGTACAGCCGCAAATATTACACAGCAATTCAATAAGTCGGTTCAGCACTGTCAGTGTCATGACCCAAGATGTACCAGTATGTTAAACTTGTTTGCTTCTACTTATGCTTTTATCATCTACTAAATTTTTTAACCCCAATATTGGGCTTGTTTGGTTGTTCCTGGCCGGCGAGGTCGTATGTGAAACATTATTTCATTATTCAGTTTACATTCATGTCAACTCTATATTAGTTTTGTTTTTATTAGGTTTACATCATTCTAGTTAAGTTGTATCCAATAGTATATTCATGATTTTGAAATTTGGGTTATTTGTGATTATTGTTTTTTCATTGATCATGTATATATATACACATATATTTAAATAATTAATAAATTCCTTTGTCAACTCTGCTTGCTGGGCTATAATTGAGTATACCGTATATCAGGTTTTTTTTCGCTTGTGTTTAATTTTCACTTTGTTTGCGTCACCTAAAGAAACGCGAAAATTTGACCCAGCATAAATTACCCTGCATATTCCAAATTTTATGGTTGTTTGAAAGACAGTTAATTATCTAGTCTTACTATTGGCTAATCATACATGTCACACCTTCTGACAAAAATGCAATCAGTGACATGTTAAAAAATGTTAATTAGCGACGTTTTATTGATTGGTATTATAACCCGAACATTTTGCATTTAATATAAAAATAAAAATAAATCACATTAACACGGATATTTATATACCTGTAATGATCAAAACCTTCAACTTTTAACATACTCCAATGTACATGTTTTACGTTCCTTGAAAGTGTATTTTCGTTTGTAGTACTCATATTTATTTGATATTGTTTAACTGTTAGTTAATTAGTTTATGTTGTTTGTAAATTTAACAATAAGATACAGTTATTTTTTCACGTGTATTCTCCCATTCAGCGAAAATTATACACAGTGATAATATAACCTGCCCATTTTGTCATCAAATCGCAAAAAAAAAAAACAATATACGGTATACAATTTCAGAATTTGTTTGTGTCATTGGATGTTTTCTCGCATCTTTTATTCATATACATGTAATTTTTTTCCGAATTTTTTATGTCGTTTTGTCTTGTGACATGGACTAAGTGCTTGAGATGGTGATTCAAATTTACAATCAAAGAAAACAGCAATCCATAATATGACTCACATTTATTTAATATTCAGCTTGAAAATAAATGCTACAACAAATTTTACATGGTAAATTTGATCACATGATTCACATGACAGTTCAATTCTTGATCACATGACAGATCTATTTCAACATCACATGACTGCTAAATATACATGTCAATACCAGTTGAGAAAAGAAAAAGTGAAAATGAATAAAATTAGATACATGATTTTTGTTGAGGTTAATGGTACCCTTTAAAAACATTGCGTATAAAATCTACATGAATTGTGATATAACTCTAGTGTCTTGCTCCATAAGCCCAATTCTATGAATCTAATAACAACCTTTCTATTTTTATTTATATAAAAAAAACAACAACATGCAAAATAATTGTGTTTAAACTTTTCATGGTAAAAAATGGTTTCCCCATCCATATTCCCTTTAATCGCCTTGTCTCCCTTTTTATAAAGTAAACATGCAATAATCATGCAAAATCTATTCAAATGAAATTTACACTAATGGCAAGAAAGTTTTGTTACTTTTATACTGCAACAGTTTTTCAACTTTTCAGAAGCAAATAATTTGGGTAAAAATTTTACCTTTAGACATGAATGATGAAGCACATAATTAAAACTTCTGACAATCTGTAATCTTCAATTACATTAAAAATTGTGGGAAAAAAAATGTGGATATATCATTTCCATCACTATCACATTTTGTACATGAGTAGAAATCTCAAATTTTACGTAGTCATTTACCATAGAACAGATTCCGTATAAAATTGAATATCTATATTGTAGTTTTGCAAAAATATTGTCAATCCCGTACCCATATCCATATGCCAAGTTTATATAAACTATTCTGTACCTAAAGGATGTTTAGTATCAAGTCGAAAATATTCAAACTATGAAAGTGAACCTTTATTTTACTAAAAAAAAAATTAAGTGGAGCAGATTTTCAATGCACTAGCTATAGTTTACAATCAAAACATGTCACTCTACCTGGACACATTATCATGTTCTGTTCTTACCAATTTTTATTCTTTCTTCTAAATACTGCATTCTTATTAGAGAAGCAACAATTAACAAGTATAGTCTTCTTGTTGACAAAGTCCCTGATTAAACCTATGACCTCTAGCATTCGAGGTGAGCATGCTTCCTCGAGACAACTGATGCCAACTTCAACGTTATTCAGTAAACATGAAAAGTAGGCCACAATGACTTACTTTGATAAAGGTATTAAAATACACACTGAATTAAAATTGAAATCACACAGTCTGGGATATGTCAAATAATAAACAACTGCATGGAGAAACACAAATCAACAAGCACTAATTCACTAGTCACTTAAATTGTCCATGAAAGCATAGTTAGTACATAATAATTCTCTCATAATGTTGGACATAACGTAATCTTCTTTTAAAAAAAAAAAAACCTGCTAATCTTAATTTCCAATATTAAAAGACTTCCAAATGTGTACTTTCCATAGGAATTGGTAAAATTTATTACACATTTCAATGTGCATGAAGAAACACATACACATCAACAAGTACTATTAATTCAATAGTCACTTAAATTATCCATTTTACTAAACACACAAACATCACCAACACTAATTCAATAGTCACTTAAATTGTCCTTAAAAGCATAGTTAGTACATTATAATTTTCTCATAACTTTGGACATAACATCATCTTTTTTTTATTTAAAAAAAAACAAAAAAAACCCTGCTCATCTAAATTTCCAATATTTAAAGACTTTCAAATGTGTACTTTACAACATTTCCATGGCAACTGGTAAAATCTAATATACATTTCAAAGTGCATGAAGAAACACACACATCAACAAGCACTAATTCAATAGTCACTTAAATTTTCCGAAAAGAAGTTAGTACATGATTAATTCTCAAAACTTTAGACATAACATCATGAACATAATTTAAAATATCTAAACAAAAAACATGCTTAACTATGCTAAATTTGGAATACAAAAAAATTTCACTTTTGTACTTTTAAAAACAAAATCATTTCCATAGCAACTGGTAAAATTTATTATACAATTCACCAAACATATCATGTGACAAATTCGTAATAGCTACTATTGCCTATCATCATGTCATGTGATCAGTTGCTAATAGCTACTATTGGCTATCATCATGTCATGTGATCAACTAATAATACCATAATATCTCTATAACAAAAAAATATATACAGCAAAAATGTTCTACCAGCGAACAATATACAAAATTAATTCACCAAACTGAGTCTCCAAAATCCAAAGCAAGTTGACATGTAAAACAAATCTTGTTCTAGTCTGAATTTCAACAAAATAATTTCCTTTCCAATACTTTGAAGATTAGGAAAATGTCTGTTGTTGCATTTGAAATCCTATGTCAGAAGAGAGCAATATTTTGTTTAACAAAAATATGGTTATGAATTTATATTTTATGATTTGAAAAACAGTAGAGACTCAATTTAGTGAAACATTTAAAACAATTAACACTAAAAAAATCCTTGTGATATATTTGTTTGTGATCACCACTGTACATACTGTATATTACAATAATTTATTTTCGTATTGCAGCAAAAAAATAGCACTGAAAGAGGATATGATTTATCATTTTTACAGCTGAAATCAATCAAATTTCTTGAACATGATCGCATCTTATTTAATTTAATCAAAAACTGTTTATATAAAAGTCAGGTGTTGAAATCTAAGTGTTCAGGAGTCACTCAGGTTAATTTTTTATATAGTCACCTAAATAATATCCATTATGCAAACCTCTATTGGTCTTCCTTAAATCCAAAGAACTAAAAATCAAATAGCTATGGTTTTAAAAATCCATTAACTCTTATTGTTTGGTTTAAAAATGTTTAGCTAGCCTATAACTGGACTTCAACTTGAAGTATACCTAAATTTATATGCAAAATACTTCTGTTGTCTCAAAAACTAGTGTCTAAAATAAGTTAAAATCTCATTGATAAAACAATCATGTCATAAAACAAAACAAAAACATGAATGCAAGCAGTAAAATATTATCTAACTAAAAATAATCATTATATGGGCCAAAATAATGTACATTCTTTCTGGATCTCTGCTTTGATACTGTCAATGATTTTCAAAGAAAGGAGTGCAATGTATCAACTAAAATGCAACTGACATAAAATATGAAATTTTGCTTTTTGATAAGAACTTATACTGTGATTTCATTTATTTTCGTGGGAACCAATTTTCGTGGATTGCGGAAAACTTGCCTTTTCGTGGATACGTGATTTCGTTGGTCTTGCAAAAGTCTGCATACAACCTTGAAAAAATTTGTAATTCGTTGAACGTTTAAATTCATGGTTCACCTGCACGAAATCCACAAAAATTGGCATCCCACGAATACTAATGAATCCACAGTAACTGAAACTGACAGTCAACTGAGTAATATAAAAACAAAAATCAACTAAACTGCATTTTTTTTTTTTAAGTTAGGGATAAAAAGTCTTTTGGAATTGTTTTACTCTGAAGGTAAAAATGGCTGAATCCCACATTTTCACATTTCAGTCTATAATTTTTACTGATGCTTTTTTCACTTAAACATACCATTGAATTCCATGATATGTGATTATAAACTTTAGTGAATAATGTAATAGATATGAAAGACGGGTGTGAAACATTGCTTTCTCCGGTGATTCTACCAATTTTTCATAAAAATGCTTTTTATACATTTAAATAAAAAGATGGCAATACCAAGACAGTGTAAATACATTATTAGGGCCCTTGACATTGCAAAACAACATTTATTCATCATCATCAGATAAAGTCTCATATTTTGCCAACAATAAAGGAGCTTGTTCCTGAGTCCAGTATGACCTTTCTGAATCATGTGACATACTGGATACCACCTGGTTCCCTGATCCATAAGACATACTCATTTGTGATGAGCTCACTGGTTGATTGTTACCACTGACATCTGAACTTGAATGTGGTCGACTTCCTTGATCAGGTGCACTGAAATGTGATGATTCTGGAGCTCCACGTGGACTCCTAGATCGTCCATAAGACATTGGAAGTATACCACTGTCTGGTGTCCTGCTTTGTGAAACACGATCTGTTACGTCATGGATATCTGAGCTACTCCTTGGGCTGTTGTCACTGTCACGCGATGACCTTGAAGACTTAGGTCGGTCTGGTCTTGGTGAAGAAATGTTTGATGAACTGTCAATGGTGCCCGATTCTTCAATAACCATTCTATCAGAGTGAGTGCTGTCAACACTTGGATGGGATATATTAGAACTCTCCTCAACTTCCATACCCTCATGTTTGGAAGATTTTCGAGAAAATCTGCCTTCCATTGAACTCTGATCAGCACTAATGTGAGAACTACCGACAGCTCCCTCTCTTGATTTATAAACATCGTGTGAATCACTTCTGTCAGCTGACACAGTTATATCACTAGAACTTTGAATCTGACTTTCATTTGATCTTGCCTGTTCTGAATGAGAACCGCGACTATTTTCTGAGCTATCAACAACACCACGTCTTGGACTCCTAGTGCTTGGGCTTCTGGTGCTACCAGAAAGTCCCTTATAACCACCTTTAACAATAGGCCTATCATCATCTGGACTATCAGGAAAATCATATTCAGATCTTGGACCTTTCTTCTCAGAACTTGAAGCTTTCTGAATTTCAGATACAGTTGATTGTGTCACTTTTTGATGTTCCCTAGGCATACTAACATTTTGTGTCTTGCCCATAGTCTCCTCCTGTTCTGGCCGAGCTCTAGATCTGCCCAAGAACCTTTTCTTGCCAGTGTGGTAAGATGTAGGATTGGTTGAACTTTCTGCTCCCTCGTTGAATGTTGAAGAACCAACCTGTTGTCTGAATTCTCCTTCCTGTTGGTAACTCTCTGACGGCTGAGAAGTACTCGTTGGATGAGACTGCACAATTTCCCTCTGTCGATACTGTGACGACTCTGGTTGCTGCTGAATTGGCTGAGCAGCCATTGGTGAATGAGAACGTGATGTTGATGACATATGCGGGTGTACTTGTAACCCATGTGGCGTTGGCAATTTCTGACTTGGTTGATTACGTTGATGAATTGGCATGTTGGTTGATTGGGGCCGCTGTTGACCTGGCATTAAAGGTGGCTGCTGTTGCTGAAGACTTGGTTTCGGTGATTTATCTGATGTATTATCCTCACTCAAAACCTCGGCAATTTTGTTTTTGACATAGTCTAGTGTAGAAATATCTGAGGATACATTGGAGCACTCGGAAGAATGAGGTGACCCAACATTTGATCTTTCTTCTGAAAACAGAGAAAACAAACACTTAAAAGTAAGATGAATTAATAAACCACAGTTTCATATTCAGATAACATGAAGACTGATAACAAATTTCAGGAAGCAATTATATGTAGTTCCCTAGAAAAAATGTGATGAAATTTTATACATGGCAATAATGTGTTAAGACTATACAAATTTTCAGAAAACAGAAGTTGAGGATCGATAAATTGCAAACTGCAATTCCTTGTATAGCATGTTCCCAAGAAGACTGGTAACAAATTTCAGGAAGCTCTAATTTGTAGTTCCTTAGAAAAATGCTACCAAAATTTCATATATGGTAATTATGTGTTAGAATAAGTATTTTGTAAACAGGAAGTTGAAGATCGATGCATCTGAAACTGCATTACACAGTAAAAGATGTTCACATTAAAACAGATAACAAATTTCAGGAAACTCTGATTTGTAGTTCCTGAAAAAAATGCGACGGAATTTCATGGTACAGATGGACATATGGACGAACAGACAGTAGGACAGAAGGATGGAAGGACATACAGAGGTAAAACAGAATACCCTCCTCTTTCGGAGCAGGAGAATATGAAAATCCAAATTTCAAAATTTGCAGAAATAAATGTTGAATATATGAACTTAATTAAACATTGTCAAGTTGGTTTAAAACATTTTATTTCATGGGTTATGCCAATGTTCCATGAAATGACAGTAAATTTAGAGAAAATGGTAAAATTTAGCAAAATACTTTGCTTAACTCTTACTTATTGAGAAATAATATAGAACCCACCCCTCGACCCAAAAGATATTAATACAGAAAACATGTTTTGTGTCTATCTCTTATTGGCAAAATTTTATTTGGGCGACATATAAGCTTTTCTTAATTTAACAAATACATAGATGAAATTTCTTATTTTTCGCTAAATAAAATAAACAAATCTTCTTAATGATGTCAGTTTGAATTTTGTCATTATGCCTAAGCTAATACTTACATTTCTGAAAGCTTTTATTCTGAAGTTTAAAAAATTATTAATTCTAGTACTAATGATATCATACAATTATTTTTTTTTTACAATTTTTAAAAAAGGGACTACAACTATTCCCTTTATTAATGTTCATTAAGATATACATGTTTATCTACTTCAAAAGTATAAAAAAGTCTGCAATCATTTTTAAGGTTTTCTATTCTTTCAAAATTCTAATTTTTAGCTTTTAGGAAAATAATGTTTTTAACACAAAGAACATGCTGTCACTATTCGTGTTGCTGTATTAAAATTCTGAAGGTTTTGTAACATGGAATTACAAAATAAATTCTAATCTTAAACATAATCACATATTAAATTTTAGCTTTTTACCAAGAATCATCTGCAAATGTAATTGGGCCACACTTCATTATAGGACAGAATTATATCAGTGCATTGAAATTAATCTATGTGAAACTCCTTGAACATTTACTTGCATTAAGTTCTGATATTAAGAGTATCCCAATAATGAATTGTACAATTTTTGGATTTACTAAAAAAATTCAATGTGATTTTTTTATTTTTGGTGTTTCAATGCCACTTTTAAGCACCGATTTTGAGCTATTTCGTGGCAGCCAGTTTTTATTGGTGGAGGAAGCCGGAGTGCCCGGAGAAAACCACCGACCTTCCATAGGAAAACTGACAATCCTAATCAATTAAGATTGGAGTCGAGTGCACCCGCACGAGCGGGGTTCGAACTCACAACCTCAGTGTTGACTGGCTAGTGATTACAGTAGTAACTACTTAGACCACTCGGCCACTGAGGTCCCAAAAATTCAATGTGTGATGGGTGAAGATAATGAAAAGACAAATATCTGTACACAAATAATTATTCAGCAATCCTATCATAAATAACATGGTTGTCTCCAATTGTATATATTTATTTCACAGTTCTTTCAATACCATTTTATTTCTGCAAGTTTTGATTTCCTCTTGCAGTTAAAATGTTAATAAAAACATATAAAGCATACCTGCCAACTTTTCAAAATTTACATGGGGGATTTTAAGCGCAAGAGCCTCTTTTATTGTCATAAGTGTTTTTAATCTACTACTATAGTGTTTGAATAAGTATGTATTAGCTTAAATACCCTTTTAACTCATTTGAATGCCTGTTTTGAGGTGTTCAGTTAATAAAATAATGAATTTCAAAATGCAGGTCAACATCATAAATCTGGATAGATGGCAGGTCGGATAAAGTTATCTCCCTTATGTCCCAAGGAAATAAAAAGGCTGATTTATTGATGGCAATTTTATACCATATCAACAGGAATGAGTTATTTTGTGCGAGAACCAATTTTTTATTTATTAAAATACCCCAATTCAAAGTCAGCTAGAAGACCCATCACAGATAAATCGTTGTTTAAAACAAAATTACTATTCACATATTAAAATTAAAGAAAAACCCATATTAAAAACAAACATGAAAAAATGTCAAAAATATTAAATAATTTAAAAAGCATTTGATATTTTTATAACAATATTCAATTATTTCAATACTATAAGATTTTAATTATAAAGATCAAGAGTCCGGAAACGGTCATATTTGCCGTTCATGTCCTAAACTGAAAGATATTTGTCCTAAACAGCAAATTGGGATTTAGGACAAATTATTTTTTTTTCAGAAATAATTTCGGTCATTTCATTTAGATAGGGTTTCTTTATCGCAAATTTACACTTGTTTTTCTTTTGTAATTCCTTTCTTACAATAAAACTGCCACTCCAGAATAGTAGGATAATCCTTAGGGCCCTCCTAATAACCATATCAATGCCTCGGGGAAATATTGGCTAATGATTGCTAATCACTTTTTACCTGTGTTTTAATTAACACCTGACAGTGATCACAAGCTCAGAACTAATATTATAAAGAAATTAAAATTCCATGATAACTTTCTTCATTATTAAATTACTTTTCAGCAAAGACAATCAACAATTCTAATCTAAAATTAAAACTTGATTTAATTTACATAAAATAAAATGCTCCGCAGGGCGCAGCTTGATACGACAGCAGAGGTCGAACCCTGAACAGTTGTGGCAAGTATGGACACAACATTCAAGCTTGATACAGCTTTGCATTTGGATTGTGATTAAATATTTGACACAGCATAGGTTTCTGACACAGAATGAATGTGGTCTAAGAACTTACAAATTTTAAATTGGACATTCACCTATTATGGTCCAATATCCAAAATCTAAATACATGGTTAGATTCAGCATATCAAAGAACCCCAAGAATTCAATTTTTGATGAAATCAAACAAAGTTTAATTTTGGACCCCGATTTGGACCAACTTGAAAACTGGGCCCATAATCAAAAATCTAAATACATGTTTAGATTCAGCATATCAAAGAACCCTAAGAATTCAATTTTTGTTAAAATCAAACTAAGTTTAATTTTGGACCCTTTGGACCTTAATGTAGACCAATTTGAAAACGGAACCAAAAATTAAGAATCTAAATACACGGTTAGATTCGGCATATCAAAGAACCCCAATAATTCAATTTTTGATGAAATCAAACAAAGTTTAATTTTGGACCCTTTGGACCTCAATGTGGACCAATTTAAAAAGGGGCCCAAAATCCAAAAACTAAATACACGGTTAGATTCAGCATATTAAAGAACCCCAAGAATTCAAGAATAAAACCCCATTGAAATTGGTCAAGAAATAAGCAATTTATACGAAGTATCTTCTTTTGCACAATACTGTGCAATTAAATATTTCTTGCTATTGTGCAATACTGTACTATTGACAATTTCTTGCTATTGCGCAGTATTGTGCTATTGGATATTTCTTGCTATTGTGCAATACTGTGCAATTGAAGATTTCTTGCTATTGCGCAATACTGTGCAATTGAAGATTTCTTGCTATTGTGCAATACTGTGCAATTGAAAATTTCTTGCTATTGCACAATACTTATTATATAATAATTTACACATCCTGTTTGGTGTGTATCTCCTACCATATCATTATTATTTGCTTTTAAATATAAATCAGAAATAACCAACTTAAAATGGAAAATTTTAAAAGAAAAAAAAAAGGAAAAAAAGAAAAAAAATGAAAAAAAAAAAATCCCCCCCCAAAATTTTTTGAACCCCCTTATGATTCATCACCCCCAAACTCAATCCCAGCCTTCACTTTGTGGTATGGTACCTTGCAGTACAATTTCAGAGAGATCCATACACTTGTCAACACAAGTTATTGTCTGGAAACTAGAAAAATGTGTTTTTTGCCCCTTTTTGGCCCCTAATTCCTAAAATATTGAGGCAATTACCCCCATCATCAATCCAAGCCTTCCCTTTGTGGTATGGTACCTTGCAGTACAATTTCAGAGAGATCCATACACTTGAACACAAGTTATTGTCTGGAAACTAGAAAAATGCTTATTTTTGGCCCCTTTTTGGCCCCCAATTCCTAAACGTTTCGGCAATTACCCCCAAACTCAATTCCAGCTTTCCCTTTGTGATATGGAACCTTGTAGTATAATTTCAGAAAGATCCATACACTTACACACAAGTTATTGTCATGAAACTAGAAAAATGCTTGTTTTTTGCCCCTTTTTTGGCCCCTAATTCCTAAAATTTTGAGGCAATTACCCCCAAAATCAATCCCAGCATTCCTTTTGTAATATGGAACCTTGTGGTACAATGTCAGAGAGATCCATACACTAACACACAAGTTATGTCTGGAAATTACAAAAATGCTTATTTTGGCCCCTTTTTGGCCCCTAATTCCTTTACTGTTGGTAGCATAACCCCCAAAATCAATCCCAACCTTCCTTTTGTGGTATTGAACCTTGTGGTAAAATTTTATAGAGATCCATTCACTTAAACTAAAGTTAGAGTGCGAAAACCAATGTGTCTTCGGACGACGCCGGACGACGCCAGACGACGACTACGATTACGACGCCAACGTCATACCAATATACGACCACAAAAATTTTTTTGCGGTCGTATAAAAATAGAAATTTTTCACGAGCCAAAAACACGTGCTTTATTTACTATGTAATACGCATGCATGAAATTGTCTTCACCAGATTAGACTCTTAATCATAAAATCCAAAATAATGATATGCTAAATTAAATGAATGCAACTATTATCTGTTATATTCAAACACATTTAAAGGTAATAAAATTAGAAATCCCATGATTTCCTGTCACTTTGATAAACAGAACGAATCCCGGAAAGGAATCGGGAATTACCCATACTCTAGTAGTGTCGTGAAACTTCCAGTTTTAATTTCATCTTCAAAAGCGAAAGAAACGTTAGCAATGTCTGAGAAAATTACTATTTTGAGTCATTAAAATCATTTCAATACTAAACTGTTGCATTCCATTAACTGTTCTTGAACGTTTTTCGAAAAACAGTAATAAAATTCATGAAGTAAATGCAATGAAACTGTCAACACAAGTTCGTTGATGCTATGAATCTAGTGTGAATAATTTCGACAGTTTGAAAAAAGGGGCCAAACTTTTAAGTCATAGCAAAAAGACCGATTTTGTGTGATAAAATTTCTGGATCCTTGATAAAGATACTAATAGCATCACTTTGGAGTGTTAGCAAATATAATAGAACATTTTAATTGTTACTAGTATATAACTATTTCTTACAAAATCTATAAAAATTTATGTGGAAGAAATAGCCCTAACCCTGTTCAGAACTAATTTAGCAGTTAAGGCCATTCCTTAAGGAATGGGGAAGTTCTATTTTTGAACAGGGGTTGTTGTCATTCATGGTTGTGAAGTGATTTTGAATGTCCCTTCCTACCCACCCACATCCATTTTAATGGAATAATCCTTACCTTGTTTAGGTTTGGAGAGTAAATTAGAGATGTGCTGATGACTAGCAGCTACAGAGGAGGTCACATGTATTGAAGCCGCCCTTGACCTTGGAGATCTTGGAGGAGATATTTTTGTTGACTGGGCTTCGCTGCTGCTTTCAACACTCCCTAAAAAAAAAATATATATATTAGCTGAACCACAAACTATATACATAAACGCTTGTCCCAAGTCAGGAGCCTCTGGCCTTTGTTAGTCTTGTATGTTTTTTAATTTTAGTTCATTTACATGTATATGTTTTGGAGTTTAGTATGACGTCCATTTTCACTGAACTAGTACACAATTTTATTTAGGGGCCAGCTGAGGACCACCTCCGGTTGCGGGAATTTCTCGCTGCGTTGAAGATCCATTGGTGGCCTTCGGCTGTTGTCTGCTCTTTGGTCAGGTTGTTGTCTCTTTGACATATTCCCCATTTCCATTCTCAATTTTATTATATTATATTTTTTCAATTTCCTGTTAACATTATCACTACTAACTAGTGTCAGACAGGCTTTTGTTGTCTTAGATTTTTTTATACCTGAATAGTCATCTAATCTGAAATCATACAGATTATGTACTATTCCTGCATGGCGTGTGATGCATGCATAAAGGAGATGCTTACTCATTCTCACACCTGAACAAGAAAACAAATACATCCTATTATGATAGGCAGAGCCTAAAAATGGCAGAATTCAGTATAAAATTACCAGCAGATGTATCGACAGGAACTCTGGGAGAATGTGATTGATCAGGTCGTTTCCTATCCACATCCAAATCTTTCTGTGGTAAGCCATCACTACTGTGTTCACCTTCCTAATAATCACAAAAAGAAAATTGGTTTTTAAATCAAATACATTTTGTTAGAACCATAGAAGCTGGAATTAAAGTAAGATTGATTGATTGTTTAATGTCCAGTTGCAAATATTTCATGCATTTTCAGAACAATAATTATAAAGCAGAATGACTCATTGATTTTAATCTGGAATTTTCCATATCAGCATTAATTCTCATGATAGTTATAAATTTCTTATTACATTTTTTAGCTAGAACTGACATGAGTAGAAAAAGAAGTTTTAAATCTCTTATCAGCAGACTACTGCACTGAATTGCTAATATAAGCTTTGGTGTCATTACAAATACCATAGACTGCAATCTAAAAAACCAGAGAGCTTTACCAGTATCTATATGACTGTAGGTCACAATAGATGAGTTTCCAATTTCGATTTCTGAGTGAACTGCCCCAGTTGACCTTAGGTCCTTCATGGGAAAATGCATCATAGGACATTGTGACGAAGATATTTGCTTTGTGACATCAAATATTTACGGGAAAAAGCACCAGTTCAACTGAGTTGGAAGATCATGTCAGGAGCCTGTTGTTCAGTAGTTGTCGTTTGTTGGTGTGGTTCATAAGTGTTTCTCATTTTTTATATAGATTAGACCGTTGGTATTCCTGTTTGAATTGTTTTACACTAGTCATTTTGGGGCCCTTAATAGCTTGCTGTTCGGTGTGAGTCAAAGTTCCATGTTGAAGGCCGTACTTTGACCTATAATTGTTTACTTTTTACACATTGTGACTTGGATGGAGAGTTGTCTCATTGGCACTCATACCACATCTTCTTATTTATATTTTATACATTCTTCTAACCAATTACAAATCACTACAATGAGAACAAGAATGGTGACATGCCTACTCTTAATGCCAGAGTAATAAAGGGCCGTACTGGATTAAATAATCATTGCTTGTATTACCTGTGGAATATGACCTTTCTTCCACCTCATTTGATGTGGAGTAGTAAAGGAACGAGGTCGTGGTGAGTCTGATGAGTCAGCCATTTGTGATGATGTTTGACTGGCGCTGGGAATATGTGATGTTGTGTCCACATGAACATTGGGAGATGTCACTGTAATATAAAATTTGTATAAAACTGATTTATATATAAATGTATATATGAAATTAAAAAAAAAAGAAAGTTTACCTCTGCAATTTAACTTCATCTAAAAAATGTAATTTGTTAAATAGGTTAATTGAAAAAAAAGCAGATTTATCTGACAGGTCTGATCCAGAAAAACATCTGTATGGTTGTTTTGAAGGCACTTGTATTCAAATCTTGTGGGTGGAGGGACGATTTTGAAAATTCTAAGTTTACTCCAGTTGGTGGCGATGGGTAAAATACAAGTGCCATCAATAACCACCCAACAATTTTATCCTAAACAGCCCTGAGCAAAATTGACAGTAACTAGGATATAAAGATAGTAATATCACAAGGTTTTCCTATGGAATTAAAATCTCTGTGCTTGTCAGTTTTATTCTATGTTAAAAAAAACAAAAAACATCCAGTTTTGGTCTTGAAGTTTTAAAAATCAATAATTCATATTTTTGTCTTTCCAAACTTTAGGCCATTACTGGACCTGATGACTATTATGTTGTGAATAGATAAAATGGGTGTCATACACTTTTGTGTTGTGCACACATAAAATGGGTGTCATATACTTTTGTGTTGTGCACACATAAAATGGGTGTCATATACTTTTGTGTTGTGCACACATAAAATGGGTGTCATATACTTTTGTGTTGTGCACACATAAAATGGGTGTCATATACTTTTGTGTAGTGCACACATAAAATGGGTGTCATACACTTTTGTGTTGTGCACACATAAAATGGGTGTCATACACTTTTGTGTTGTGCACATATAAAATGGGTGTCATATACTTTTTCCCAAATTAAGTGCAATATCAGTTTTATGTATGTACTTAATATTTCTATTTTTGTGAAACAACACCTCTCCATTTGAAGTCAATAATGAAAATGTTATTCCATATTTTAAAACCTTACCTGGTAAATTGGTAGATCCATTGATCCGACTGAGTACACTGTCTTTAGGTGGTGTTGGCTTATCTGTGTTGTAGTCCATAAGAATAATAGAATTGATGTGTTCCCCGAGAGTTTTGGCTGATGAAATAGGTCGGGTCACAGGTTCAAAAGGTCCACTACTAGCACCACCACCACTAGACGCTGTACCATGCTTTTGAGATTCTGCAGTCGTGGTAGGTTTCTGTTGGGTTGGTCTTTGAGGTGTAGATGTCATCGACTGGGGATGTTCTTGAATCCATTTCTTCTTACCATGAACTTGCAATGGTGATTTTTGTAATCCTGACTGTTCCATGTGTGAGGGTGTAATAGTTGGTGGGGTCTCCACTTTTTTGCGCTCCATATTAGTAGTATCTCTACTTGTAGTATCTCTACTATTATTACTGTTCTCATCTACCTGATTAATCTGATGAACAATAATGGCATCAATGAGATTGGCTGCAGTCAGTCCTTGATGACGGGACATTGGACCAGATGTTGTAGGTGGAGAAGCATCTTGCCTGAAAACTTTTAATATATCTGTGGCTTCTTTGATTTGACTTTTGTTATAAGCAGGTGATGCCCTATTTGATGAGCTCCATGGACTCCCAGGTTTAGCACTAGGCATAGCATTCTCTTCCTTAGCTTCATGTCTCGCCTGGTTTTCCTTTCTAAGCTTCTCTTCCATCATAAGTTTAGCTTGTCTTTCCCGTTCTCTTTCCTCTAGCACTGCTATTCTCCTCTTTTCTGCCTCTATACGCTCTATACGTTCTCTGCTTTCCATCATCTGACGATACTCCTGGTTCATGATGTTTGGATCTCTAGGTCTAGACATGCCCTGGGGTGGATATGAGTGACTATCAGGATATTGTCGTGGTGATACTGGTTGTGATCTAGGTTGTGATGAACTATCTGCAGGGTATGACTCCTGCTTTCTCTCTGCTATGACTGATGGTCTAGGCTTTCCAGTTCCTTGAGTAATACTTCTCATTACATTTGGGTTCCCAACAGGAGCTTTACTTAAATTCCATCCTGCTGGTGACAATTTTTCCTCTTGAGGAGGACCACCTCGACCAAGGTGATGTGGACTTGGTTGACCTTTATCAGATGTTGGTACCTGTCCTTGAGGCAGATACATCATGCCCTGGCTAGTCTGGAATTGATGTAATATTTGACCAGGGTAAGGTTTCTGTTGGGGTGGCATAGGCTCCTTAGCTCGTGGTGATATCTGTGCTTCTCTTTCCTCTGGTAGGCGCTGCATCTGACGTGCTGTTTGGAAATCATTCATCATTATTTGTCTTGAACTACTGCTGGCTGGGTCTAATGCTTGATAGGGATATCCTCCAGGGTAAACCCTCATCTGTTCCATGTGTCTGGGATCATATACGCGGGGATCAAAAACAATTCCTCCTGGCTGTGATACACGGCCACCAGGTTCTGGCATCCTATTTCCTCCTCCCTCTCGATTAACAGGGGTACCAGTCGTAATAGAGCCAGCTGCCATTCTAACTTGTGGTTGTGCCATCATTTCTCTAGGTGGAAGATTGGAAGAATGTTGCTGGCCATGGCCTACAGGTCTTAAAGGTGTTCCTTGTGTTATGGATCCATGGGCCTGTGTTAACATCTGCTGTGGATGTCCACTCACTGGAGGAGATTTAGTCATCTGCATGGCTGGACCTTTACCGACCAAAGGAGGTGGATGACCTATACTTTGCTGTTGTTGGGCTCTGCGTAGCATTTCTGGAGTGTTGGGCATTTGCGGATATGGTGATGACCCTGGCGACATTCGCCTGGATACTGCTGGAGAATGTCGTTCTGACTGATATGCTGATGGAGATTTATGTCCTAGACCTTCAGATTGAGGGCGTACCGACAGATCTCGCTGTTCTCGATAAGAAACTGGACGTTGGTGAGCTTGATGGGCTGGTGGAGGTGCTCCTTGTTGCTGAACTCTTTGAACAACCTCTGGTTCAGGTCGTCTATAATCAATAACAGGCTGCTGTTGTGGACGTGTAAAGTCGCGTGGGTCACCCCTATATCCTTTGTGTGACAAATCCTGTGGCATATCACGTCTGTCAGCTGGATCCCTCTCTTGGACTCTTTGTTGAGGTATATTAGCATATGGAGAGGCTGTGTGACGAGGCTGATATGGAGACATCTCATGTTTATCTTTATGAAGATCCTGGTGATAGACACCAAGAGGACTATTCATTGACTGTTGACCTCTGTGATATGCTGGCTCAGTAGATGCTGGTCCTGGAAATAGAAAAAACCTGAATGTATACTGAGTAAAAAAAGTTTAGAGACACATATTTTTAATTGCATATGTCAAAAATAAATTATAAAAATTTACTTCTAAAGATTACAATAAATATTATTGTAACAAAGAAAATAAACCTTAAGATTCTATGTCTACTCTGCAAAAAACAATTACGTTATAAATTCATTTCCGCAATATTCAAAATTTTTATTTCAAAGTTTATCAAATTAAATTATATGTTGCTAAACTTTTTTACTATGAATAGCTTGATTGATATCTTACATGGTATTTCATTCAAACCAGTGATAGGGGTTGTCTTGAACTTGCAGTGAGGAGAGTTTTTTAATTGAAATGTATATTCTTATCTTATAGGATAATATATATTTACATGAATGATTTATTCATCTTTCATGTTCTAAGGTTACAAGAAAAAATATGATAAAATATGGATCAGATGCTAATGATGTATAGGTTGCACTTCTGTAAATATCAACAATGCAATTTTCCATAGGAATTCCTTTTACGGCTAAAACTGTGTTACTTTTACTATGAAGTTTCGTAAAAAATTATATCCTAGAATGGAAACTTCGTATGCACTACTATTTTTTCAAAGGTAAAAAAATAGGGCTATGCAGAATATTTTATATGCCCGAACTTCTTAAGAGTTTAAATTTTTTACTAAAATGCTGTACTACCCCTCCCTTCACTTTGGGTCTTCCTCAGAATTCAATTTGGCCCCTATCCATATGTATTTATATTGGTAATATTCCCTAGTTATGTCTCTATGAGATGAAACATAGAAATTATATCTGGGAACCAGTACATAAACAAAACAAAATATCTATGAATATTATATATCTCCCCAAAAGAGGCATGGTTTGTATTTACAAAATGCAACCTATAGAAATATTAGATATATAACTATAACAAGTCACTTTTAAGAAACAGAATAGAATAGGGAATGGAAACGGGGAATGTGTCAAAGAAAACAGCCCAAGGCCACCAATGGGTCTTCAATACAGTGAGAAAATCCTGCACCCGGAGGTGGCCTTAAAATAATGTATACTAGTTCAGCGACATGGATGCAAAACTAAACTCTGAAACATACAAATGAACCAAAATAAAAAAACACACAAGATGCTTCTGACTTGGGACAGGTGCAAAAATGTGGCAGGTTAAGCATGTTTTTGTAAGATCTCAACACTCCCCCTATACCTCTAGCCAATGTGGAGTAAATAAACACACAGCAATACATACAGTTAAACTAAGTTTAAAAGAAGCCTATCAATTAATATTGGAATCAAATACAGTGATCTTGATTTTACATGATTTTCATTTGAAAAAATAAACTCTTACTTTTATCAACCAGTCTTTCTTGCATTGGTGGTCTCGGTTCAGGCTTAGGATCACTAGTCTGGCCAAGATTTCTTTCTATGGCTGAATGAATGAGATCTCGTACACAGGCAGGTTTACCCATCTTCCCCCCATTCATCATATTTTGTTGTGCCATATTTTGAGCATGCACATTAGGTGATAGACTTCTACGGCCACTAACCATACCATAGGGCATAAGACCAGAATCTGACTGTGCACTGGCTGGTCTATGTGGTGAGCTTTGCTCTCGGCTGGCTTTGCTTAGTAGATCATACAGATGCTGCATACCTTTAGGTTGACCAAACTCCTGTGGTTTTACTTGATTTCCCATCGGTGAAGGAGATTCTTTTATAACAGGAATTTCCTGACTAGGAGGTCTTGACATTCTTTCAGCTTCAGCCATACCAGGACTTCTACCATGTGTTTGAGCAGGACTGTGAACAGACTGTGCAGACCCAGGCCTCATCTGACTCCCTGGACTCTGCAAGACATGTACGGACCCTGGTCTCCCTTGTCCCACAGATCCAGGAGTACCACTTCGACTGCTGGTAGCACTAGCCTCCATTGTAGGTCCTGGTACAGGATAACCTTGGGGAGTCTGTGGGAACGGAGAGCTTGACACAATTGGACTCGTTGAAGCTGGTCCAGATGTCATACTGCTTGTAACTGTGGGTCCCTGTACTGGATGCATGTTAGCACGACCGGCTGGTATCCCCGACACACGTGGGCTGAATGTATCACGAGCCTCACTAGACTGTGGTGCCTCATCTGCACTCAAGGTGGCGCTGCTATCATTGTCAACACTGCGTAGACTTCCCTGGGATGCACTGAGAGGTTTGTTGGTTGTCAAGTTGTTCTGTGGTAAACCAAATGGTGGTGTTTCTTGATGCTCCAATGGTGTTTCTGTTGTGTCCATTTTCTCTTCAGGCTTGGTATCTTTAGTAAAAAAAAATGGCTATAAAATAGTCTCTTGAGAAGAAATTTGACAAGGGAACATAACTTTACATTATTGTTTTAAATAATCAATAAATATGATACCCACACAATTAGTATTGCTTGTATGCTGACTTTGGCAAAACCAGGAAAACAAATATCCACAAATGTACAATTTTTCCTCAATCAACGAAAATTGGTACCCACTGAAATAAATGAATCCACAGTATATCAAACCTCATTTGTGTTACACTTTATAAGTAATATTTCCTTTAATTTTGTTAATTTTAATGTTCGTATTTAAGGTTCTTAATTTCAAAATTTCATCATTTGCTCCAACCAAAATAACTCAAATTTGTATTTTTTCAAGCATTTAAATTTGAGAGTTCCCCATACCTTGAAATTCATGAAAACTTGTACCCACTGCATGCCAATGAATCAACAGTATGTAGTCTGTAATTTATTTACAGTCTAAACTCAGGGATATTTAGTGCTTAAAATAGGATTTTTGCCACATTTAATGCATAACCTTCGATTTCTTTCAGCTCATACATACTGATGCATATTTTCCATTTGCGCCTTGAGTTTTTTCAATACATACAATTTACGTGTAAAACTTAATATCAAATTGTTTCATTACACCAAGCATGTCTGTAAAATAAGTGCTTGATATATATTTTTTATATTGGAGTTAGTGTTATTGATTCTTGTTTGCATATATTAAACTGTAAAGTAGTTTGATAGGTTCAACATGAGGGGCAACCAATTTGAAGGGTAGTAAATTTGGATTGCAACTGTAAAAAGATTGGAAACAGATACAAATTGTCTTGCAAGTTGCCATATATGAACCAATCAAAGAGTTGTTGCAAATAGTCTTTCCTATGTAGAAATGACATTATCCCAACTTATTGCTTTGGATTTAAAACATGTTTTGAATGAAATGCTTGTTTCAATTTGTTAGATGTATTGCGTTAAAAAAATATGCCACAAGAGGCATTTACAGCAGTATATAATGTCACATCACATCTACTTCACCTTTTTTTAACAATATACTAATAATTCTTATATTATTTGATTTAAACACATATTAGACCCTGACTACTCACCATCTTCAATCCTGAGTGAAGATGGACTTGGTGCACTTGTTGTGTCAGAATCAGCATCATCGTCCTCATCCATACTTGATGGTGGTTCATCATCTATATCAGGGGCAGTAACTGTGGATGCTATACTTTCACAGATGGAAACTGTTCTATTATCTTCTTCCTGTAAATAAACAATTTGATTTTGATTACATTACTCTTTACACTGCTTTGAACATTGCACTTACATACCTTTTTTATAGGTATTTTGCAATTCAATAAATGTGGGGTATTCTTCAATTACACAACAACCCAACAACAAAGATAACCAAAAGACATCTAGAGGTCAACAATAGACAAGTGTCTATACCATATGTCAAACTCTAAATCTTCACTGAGTATGTACAAGACAAGTGTCTATACCATATGTCAACCTCTAAATCTTCACTGAGAATGTACAAGACAAGTGTCCATACCATATGTCAACCTCTAAATCTTCATTGAGTATGTACAAGACAAGTGTCTATACCATATGTCAACCTCTAAATCTTCACTGAGTATGTACAAGACGTGTCTATATATACCATATGTTAACCTCTAAATCTTCACTGAGAATGTACAAGACAAGTGTCTATACCATATGCCAACTTCTAAATCTTCACGGAGAACGTACAAATTGTGATTAATTAAACAAAACCTAACAAAGATCTGACATCTGGTTCATTATTATGTTTTACATTAATCTTTACAGGTCTTCTTAATTCTTATTATAGTGTGACTTTTTTTCTTACCATTGAAAACTACAACAAACTTCAGTTGCTGATCTTATTCTACTCATTTGGGAAACTGAATCATGTACCACTACAGAATATACTTTCATCATCCCAAAAACAATAATCCATGAATAGAAATTAAAATACTTATTCAATATATACAGTCAAGTCCCGTAATTTTGTCCATTTGACAAGTCTTTGCACTTGGTTTATTAATCGTTATTTGGACAAAATTACAGAAAAAAAAGGGACAATAAAATCCTCTAGTTGAAGAAAGACTACCAACACCAAGAAAGGCATCGAAAAGCTCAATAATGGATCACAAAACACTTGACAGAAAAATTCAGCAATTGAGCAACATTGACACCCAAACCCCTAAAAATGAGGTTGCTGACAGTTGAGAATAATTGTCCAGCATGGTCTCTTTTAAAACTTGTGAAATACACAAAGATCCCTTTCACTAATTACTGAACATACTTATCAGGTATAAATCTTATCGTAAAAGACAATTTCTCCACTATGTTAGAAACATATCAAATTACTTTGGGCATTATCAATTAAACATACCTTAGTCCTCTCTTGCAGAATTGCTTCCAGGTTGAACTTTTTCTTGTAGTTGAAATAAAAATTTTTACATTGTGCCTCTGACTTAGTGCCAACCACGTTAGCAATGGCAGCCCAATCACGACCATGTTCTCTTAGCCCTACAACCAGGAAGTATAATAGATTTTCAAACAGGAAATAAAATGTATTTTACAGAAAATAATTAACTTATTGGATTCCTTGTAGTCAATGGATGACACATTTTATCGATTTTAAAACTTTAATGAAATAAAACTAGAGGCTCTCAAGAGCCTGTGTTGCTCACCTGATTCTACTTTGGTTTTGGAAATCATGTTAAAATAGATTAAAATCATAACAGATACCCTAATAATGAGTGAGGCCAAATTTGGTTTAATATTGGCCCTGTAATTTAATAAAAAAATCCTGGTGGCCATCTTGAACAGTAAATCAGCAACAAAGTAACAACACTTAGTCATCACCTCATAAGGAACATTCATGCCATGTTTGGTTTCAATCCATTCAGTGGTTCTCTAAAAGAAGACATTTGTATGTATTGTCCATAGGGTCCTATGTTAAACTAAGTCCCCAGTTGGTGGCCATCTTGGATGATGGATCTGCTTCAAAGTAACAACACTTGGTCAGCACTTCATAAGGAACATTCATGCCATGTTTGGTTGCATTCCATTCAGTGGTTCTCTAAAAGAAGACATACGTATGTATTTCCCATAGGGTCCTATGTTAAACGAAGTCCCCCGCTGGCGGCCATCTTGGATGATGGATCGGCTTCAAAGTAACAACAATTGGTCAGCACCTCAAAAGGAACATTCATGCCATGTTTGGTTTCATATTCCATTCAGTGGTTCTCTAAAAGAAGACATTTGTATGTATTTCCCATAGGGTCCCATGTTAAACTAAGTCCCTCGCTGGCGGCCATCTTGGATGATGGATTGGCTTCAAAGTAACAACACTTGGTCAGCACCTCATAAGGAACATTCATGCCATGTTTGGTTTCATTCCATTTAGTGGTTCTCTAAAAGAAGACATTTGTATGTATTCCCCATAGGGTCCTATGTTAAACTAAGTCCCCTTGCTGGCGGCCATCTTGGATGATGGATCAGCTTCAAAGTAACAACACTTGGTCAGCACCTCATACGGAACATTCATGCCATGTTTGGTTTCATTCCATTTAGTGGTTCTCTAAAAGAGGACATTTGTATGTATTTCCCATAGGGTCCTATGTTAAACTAAGTCCCCCGCTGGCGGCCACCTTGGATGATGGATAGGCTTCAAAGTAACAACACTTGGTCAGCCCCTCATAAGGAACATTCATGCCATATTTGGTTTCATTCCATTCAGTGGTTCCTTAGAAGTTCAAAATGTAAAAAGTTAACGACGACGACTGCGACGAAGGACAACGGACGCCAAGTGATGAGAAAAGCTCACTTGGCCCTTTGAATACCTTTGTTTATTGATACTTGCAACATAAAGAAACAGAAAAGTTCACTTATATCATGGCCAATACAAACAGCAGATATCTTTCTCTTTTTGGTTAATTTTTCTGGGGGTTTGATAAAAGATACTGTCAGATAATACCATTAAAACCAAAATCTATTATTGTTCGACTACTTTTTTGTTGACTAAAATTTGATATCTCATTTAAATTATTTATAGAAGCTAAATATTGATTATAAGTCTCTAAATGTAGAAGTTTTTGCCAAGCAGAGATGCTTGTGAATCAATATAGCAAATTTGGTTTAAAAATTTATATAGGTCCTGTCCTCAAAGAGTGAATTTAATGCCTTAATTCAATCCAAGTTAATCATATCAGGTTGGGTGGTGAGCATGACAATTTTGAAAGAACTTCTCCCTTGCCAGGAAAACTTTCAATTTACATTCCAATTGTTAACAAAGAGAATATAATGTGGCTTTTTCAATATCACATCCATATCAACCAGAGACACCAATTTAATCCCAACAGCTCTTTGTGGAATTGTCTCACACTTATGAGATTAAAAAGAGGATTTATCATTATTGTACCTTTTTTTGCTTTTTCCATATCTTCTTCTGTCCACCTTGATGATTCGGCAGAGTCACCTAAAACAAAAATGCCTGGTTTATCAGACATTCAAGAAGCAAATAATTATAACCCTTTTAAATCTTATACTTCATTTAACATGACAACTTCAAAGTTAAATATTCACAGAAATAAATTGCACTAGAATTTTTGAGATATATGAAATGAAGTTGTATTTTGTATGCAGTTAAAAGCACTTTTTATTAAAAACATTTCTATCTCACATTATTTCTTAAATGTTTCAAATGACCCCACAAATATATTTTATAAAATAAAAATATGGATTAATATGGCAAACATGAAATGTATTTAATAAAAAAATAAGTTAGAGAACGGAAACGAAAAATTCAGCAATTTTTCCCTTTGTAAAGGGGCAAAACTCTAGAACAGTAAAAGTGACGCCACCAAAATTCAAACTTGATCTGTGTTATGTAGTAATAAGCACTGTGTATAAGTTTCATAACATTTGGTTGAGGCTTACTTAAGAGAACGGAAACGAAAAATTCAGCAATTTTCTCATTTGTAAAGGGGCATAACTCTAGAACGGTTAAAGTGATGCCACCAAAATTCAAACTTGATCTGTGTTTTGTGGTAATAAGCATTGTGTAAAAGTTTCATAACATTCGGTTGAGGAAAACTAAAGTTAGAGAGTGGAAACCAACTTTGGGACGTACATACGGACGGACAAGGGTAAAACTTAATGCCCCCTCCGCTACGGCCGGTGGCATAAAAATAATGATAAATAATCATTAATATTTATTCAATTTCAATAGTTGGATTTACTACATATACTATGATGCATAGGTGGCCATGTGCTTCAAGTTATAACCAAAGGGGCATTTTTGTATTTGTTCTTCACAGTCTAGGATATTAAAGTGTTACCTTCTGTACTTTCAGGAGCTGCAGGCTCTGTTGGTTCTGTTATCTGGGGATTCAATTTTCTGCTAATTCTATTAAAACATGCTGAACAACATTTGTTCACTTCTTCAGTTAATTCTACAAATGATCACAGAAGCTCTTTACTATGTTGTTATATAGACACACTTATTATGAACTATTATAGGAATTTAATCGTTTCTTTAACAGAAGTCATACTAAATAAGTTAATTCTTGGAATTTTCCCCGGCTTAACAAAGATTTTTTTTTTATTTGTTATACCTTTTCTATTGTCTGAGTTAACAAATACAGTAGAACTTCAATGGGTAATTGGAGTACATACATTGTTTGGAGATTTCTCGATACCTTCCTTTCATTTTGTGATTGTATATGGGACATCTGTCTTTATTTTTGAAATAAACACTTACTATAGTTATTGTTTTTTGCTGTTTTGAAAAAAAATAGTGTGTATTTAAATAAAATCTGCTTCTTTTTGTGAGAATTACGTGTTTTGTGGCAATCTAATTTTGTCAACATTAAAATTTGAGACTAACTACGAATGAATGTTAAGCATCCGCTATTTCAAACAAAGTGGCAAAATATATACTATTTTTAAAATATTGACAATTTATTTTCAGTGGTATGATAAGCCACTTTTTTGGCCCCTTTAAATTTGAAAAGTATTATAAGTTTATCAAATAAAAATCTTTAGATGTTCACAAGCCATTAGACGAATATAAGGTTATATATTTTAAAATCATGTTTTACTTATATGCCTAAATGTCTTGCCAAAACTGCCAAATTGTCAAGAACGTGTCATTTATATACAGATAAATTCAAAGAACAAGCTCACCTAACAAGTAACTATTAACTTATTTTACCCCAAATATATCAAGAAGTAATTAGAACATTGAAAAAGTTGAAAACGTGTCACACCATATGGTTGATCAATTGTTGGCAACTTTCAGACTATTGGTTATATCATGGAGGTCAGTTTTTATTGGTGGAGGAAGCCGGAGTGCCTCGAGACAACCCCCAACCTTCCGCAGGGAAACTTACAATCCTAGTCAATTAAGATCGGAGTCGAATGCACCTGCCATTTTTCTGTACCTAAGTTAGTTTATTTCAAGATCACTTACGTAATTCTGCAACTATTGGATCTCTGATTTCTGCTGGCATTTCCAGCCATTTAGATGGAAACGGACGCAATCTTTTGACTTTACGTTTTGGTGTCTTGCAGGTTGGAATTGGGCACCTTTATAAAAAAATATATTCTTTATTAAATATTTACCCCTTAAAAATTAGTAGTATTTTCAGCTTTTTTCATATTTCTGAAACAGACAGATAATATATGACGCCATCTGGCCAATACACCCAGTAAAGTCATTTTACAAATATAGCCATCTGGCCAATCCACCCAGTTAAGTCATTTTACTAATGATTTTTAAGGTGCTGTTGTCAAAAAGTGTTTTGTGTGTGCTAAAGTAAAGTCTCAATTTCATGAAAATCACAATATTTTAATGAAAAATAATCTAAAAATGCACTAAATAAGTGGGCTAACCATGTTTTTGTATTAGAAACAGCAATGTCCTGTTAATCCCCTCACCTAGCTATGGCTTTTATAAAACAAGTTCTTTGTTTATTTTTAACAACACTCCCACATCTACCAAAGTTTTCTTTTAAGTATATTACATAAATTAGTACAAACTTACGGAGTATATCTCCTTCTGACTGATTTACAACGACAGCTACTACAGACCCTCATGTCTGGTTTTAGATCACTCTCACTCATACCATACAGTTCACAGTTACCTATGGTCAGGGCCCTACTGTAACTATAGTTCTCTAATTGCATCTTACACACAACACACTGATGTGGGCCACCTGTAAATAACTTTTTTTTAGAATGCATGTATTTTTTTTAATGTTTTTCAACAATTTTTCATCATTTAAAGCATCATTTGCAATATGGTGTAATAAAACTATAAAATATGCATAGAATCATATCATTTAATTTTCATTTAAATTTTCCATAGATGCAGCTACAAGATTTATTTCTCCCTGTGTTTTTTTTTTTTTTTTGCCTGTCTAACAGAAAGAATAACAACAGCCGAGCTTAAAAATCTGTGACGTCACTACTGGGGTCAAACATATTTTCAAAATTATATTTTCATATTTTCATCATCCCCATTTCTGATTCACCATGACAATTATATTTAAATGAGGCAATATTTTTAGCAATTTTATCTTGGTTGCAATATAAGCAAATATAAACCCCTCCCAAAAATGTCTTCAACAGTACACAGAGGTTCTGAGTAATGGAAATCTTACCATCTCCTTCTCCAACTTGTACTGGGACAGCCTCATTATCATCAGATGATTCCTCTGCCTTCTCTTCCTTCACAACATCTCCTGACATTTCCATGGGAACCTCTGTTGATGAGGCAGGAACACCTTCTTCTTGTTGTGCAGTATCTTCTATTTTTTCTTCCTTTATCTGTTGTTCCTCTTGTCTCATGGCTGAACTGTTGGGCTTAGAAAATGCTTTTTTCCTTTTGATTGCAGTTTGTTTTCTTAATAGTGTTTTGTAATTTTCATCCTTTTTAGTTTGGTAATAGAATTCAATGCAGTTAGATACACTCTACAAATATAAAAGAATTATATAACTTCTATTACATGTATATAATTATGTTTATACTGCACTCGTTCTATTTGAGCAGTCAAAATGCGTTGACCGTATATTTCTATGTCATATACAGTCACTGACCTGATATCACTTTTCCTCATGAATATTTAAATAGAAATTGCCGAAATTATAATTAATTATTCATACGACCTATTCAACCTGTTCTTGTTTCCAATGTATACAACGACTCAAACTTATTTCTTTTGCAATTTTTAGAAGAAAAAACATATCTCATTTGTTAATATTTTTGGTTTGCAAACTATAAATCATTATGTTTTATGTTTATTGTTGATATTTTAGTTCATTCTCAAACAAATTCCTTCACCATCGATTGCGGGTTTCAACAAGTAATGTACATTTCATTGTGTTTAATATTTCTTCGCCTGCATGATATGAGGCTTTTTTATAAAAGGGGGAAGTTTCCCAATATTTAAGTCAAATAATAACATTAACACATTAAACAACAATTGAAAATATTTTTTTTTAGATTGCAGTATAAAGACAATAATAGTGCATTGACTTGACATATCAACGATATAAGGATTCGGCCCGAAACGGGGAAAAAGCTCGGCAGAGCCTCGCATTTCCCCGTTTCTAAGCCTCATCCTTATATCGTTGATATGTCAAGTCAATGCACTATTATTGTCTATATCTAGACCATAAAATGATTGTAGTCGAGTATATCATTTTTTGAATAAATAAAAACATAAGTTATAACCCATACTTTTATAAAGGTTACGTGCCTGTCAGATTATTAAATAATGTAAAACAAGAGTGCACACGCTGAAATGTCTCGCCTTCTTTACCAATCATTGATATTATGTTGATAGTCCTAAATATAAAGCTTTATTACAACTGTCACATAAACTTAACATTAACCAAGTAAACTAAACATTGACCAATGAACCATGAAAATGAGGTCAAGGTCAGATGAACCATGCTAGGCAGGCATGTACAGCTAACAATTCTTCCATACAACAAATATAGTTGACCTATTTCTTATAGTTTAAGAAAAACAGACGAAAACACAAAAACTTAACACTGAGCAATGAACCTTGAAAATGAGGTCAAGGTCAAATAAAACCTGCGTAACTGACATATAGATCATAAAATATTTCCATACACTAAATATAGTTGAACTATTGCATATAGTATTAGAAAAAAAGACCAAAACTCAAAAACTTAACTTTGACCACTGAACCATGAAAATGAGGTCAAGGTAAGATGACACCTGCCAGCTAGACATGTACACCTTACAATCATTCCATACACCAAATATAGCTGACCTATTGCATGCAGTATTAGAAAGAAAGACCAAAACTCAAAAACTTAACTTTGACCACTGAACCATGAAAATGAGGTCAAGGTCAGATGACACCTGCCAGCTAGACATGTACACCTTACAATCATTCCATACACCAAATATAGTAGACCTATTGCATACAGTATAAGAAAAACAGACCAAAACACAAAAACTTAACTATAACCACTGAACCATGAAAATGAGGTCAAGGTCAGATGACACCTGCCAGTTGGACATGTACACCTTACAGTCCTTCCATACACCGAATATACTAGACCTATTGCTTATAGTATCTGAGATATGGACTTGACCACGAAAACTTAACCTTGTTCACTGATCCATGAAATGAGGTCGAGGTCAAGTGAAAACTGTCTGACGGGCATGAGGACCTTGCAAGGTACGCACATACCAAATATAGTTATCCTATTACTTATAATAAGAGAGAATTTAACATTACAAAAAATCTGAACTTTTTTTTCAAGTAGTCACTGAACCATGAAAATGAGGTCAAGGACATTGGACATGTGACTGACGGAAACTTCGTAACATGAGGCATCCATATACAAAGTATGAAGCATCCAGGTCTTCCATCTTCTAAAATATAAAGCTTTAAAGAAGTTAGCTAACGCCGCCGCCGCCGCCGTAGCCACCGCCGCCACTGCCACCGGATCGCTATCCCTATGTCAAGCTTTCTGCGACAAAAGTCGCAGGCTCGACAAAAACTATTCAAATCCTCCAGAGAATTTGAGATGAATATGGTTCAGAAGTTCTCCCAATCTTTTCTTTACATAAAACTTCAAGGTCGGTGTTTCACAAACTCTGGTAAGATTTATGACCGATAATAAAAATGTATTAGTTTTTAACATAACAGGAAACCCCAAACTGCTTCCAAATTCCAAGGGTTGTAATTGATACTGTAGAATAGCTTAATATATGTATTCTGTTGGATATTAAATAATCTGTCACATCATACTCTGCTTATTTAATATCAGAGACAGCAAGACATATGCATTTTACAGGGCAGCTATAAGATGTATTTGCATGTACATATTTAGATATTAAAGCCCAAGGGTCAGAATTCTGGCAAACGTCAGTTTTGATAGGAATAAATATATCATTTTAAAACACAAAACTCTAATTTGGCACATATATGAAACAGTTCAATTCATAATGAATATGTGTAGAAAGTCTTAAGTTTGTGTGACCACAAACTTAAACTTCAACCTACCTCAAACCAAACTTTAACCTGATATGGACAGACAGAGACAGATGGATGGTGCACAGACCAGAAACAAACGTAATGCCCCTCTCCTATTGTAGGCAGGGAATAAAAACTTGAAATTATGTAGGCAAAAAATCCTTAATTTGACATATATATATTCTGGTACCTTTTTTTCTAGGTATGAAGCAATTGCAGGGAAGTTTTTAGGATGTTGTAAATAGCGTTCTTTAAAGATGCGTTTCTCTTCTGGGGTCCATATATTGATTAATTTCCTGTCCTTCCATTCGGACATAGGGTCCTCGACAAGTCCATTGTTGTTGTAGTAACGTAGTGATCGCTGTCGAGCATCTAACATCATTGGGGGTATTACTGCTAAACTTCTCATTTTTCTATCTTCCTCCTAAAAATAAACATAGTTGTCTTAATTTAAAATATGGTATTAAACATTTCAAGTAGGTTCCTTTCAAATATTTAAACATACTATTCCGTGATTTTGTCGGTTAAAAAAATAATGAAAATCATAAAGTTAGAACAACCCAGAATTTTTACAGAAATGCTGAAAAATATCTCAATGCTTACTTTGCCCTTAACATTAGTGCACTATAGAGAGGTACCAAAATTAAAAAAAGATAAATGAATGACTGTAAATTCAGAATTTATTGCAAGGTTTTTATTAATGCGAATAATGCAACTGGTGAGTATTGCAATAATAAGAACTCGCATTATGATATTTGATGTATATATCTGTATGCAGCTTTTTCTGAAATCGCAATAAGTAATCTCCCATGTAAGTCCATTCTCCAAAAATCGCAATAATAAATGCATGCAATAATTTTTGAATTTACAGTATTCATGATTATATTTAAAAAAACACATTGTGATAGGTCCTTGTATTTAAAGTAACATTCAGGTCACTGGAGTAACCATACATATTTCATTAAATTACAATAGAAAAATATCAAAGCTGTATAATTTTCTAAACAAAAAATGTTTTCCTTCATAAAATTTTTGAAATTGCATTAATTAAATCTCACATTTTTAACAGTAATCAGTGATTCCAAATATTAAATGTGCACATTAATTTCTGAATTTACAATAAACCCACATTTGCAAAAGTTATGATAAAAGATTTAACACAACTGTAAACATGAAAACCAACCTCCTGTTCATGAAGACCATCCATGATTTGTTCTAGTTCTGCTTCACTCCTGGCATAACCTGCTACGTTACCACTCCTAGTGCCAGCCCTACTGAAAATAATAAAATATACCAATATTCATCACAAAAGGTTTAAATTAGAGATCAAACCAACTACATGAAGTTAGTGGTCAAACTTGTTACTGGCAACAAACACACAAACACACACACAACTAAAGGTAAAATAGGGAAGACTCGACATTAACCTATACATTTTTATAGTATTTCAGGTATATTTTTGTTGTTGGGTTGCTGTCTCACTGACATTTGTCTAAATGAAAGAACCTAAATTGAGCAAGCTCATATATCCCACACACTCACCAAAATGATATGGGATATGTAATGTTGGCTTCCTGTTTCATTGAAGTTTATCAGCATCTTCTTTTATTTAAATGTTTAAATAATATTTGCAAACAGTCAAAATTACACCGGGAATGTACATCCGGATGATTTTTATTTTACAAACACTTCAAAAACAGAAATTAAACAAGTGAAACTGCGAGCTACTGCTCACTGATGATACCCTCGCCGCAACTGGATAATTTTAATAGTGTAAAAATATGCAAGTGTTCGGGAAACAGGAAGTTGTTGAGTAATGAATCTGAAAACGCATCACACGGTATAGCTGACTTATATAAACCCCAAAACCAAATTTCAGAAATCCTTATGATGTAGTTCCTGAGAAAGATGCGACGAAAAATATTCATGGGACGGATGGACGGACGGATGGATGGACGGACGGATGGATGGACGGACGGACGAACGGACAGATGGATGGAAGGACAGACAGAGTTAAAACAGTAAATCCCCACTTTTTTAAAGCTGGGGTATAACAAGCTGGACAATTGGATTTTGATTAGAATGCTAAGTACTCATCACAATATAGCACAAAAATAAGCTGATTTTTTTTCAAAGTCAATATTAAAGGAAAGACTACATGAAAAGTAGAGCAGAATGTATAAAAGTGTGAAGTTATATTAGATGAAAATCGATCAGACCTTGAAAGTCTTTCCTTGTCTTCTCTTGATTTCTTGATTTCAGGGAAACATTTCTCAAAAAATTCTCTCATTCTGGCATCCTTGGCTCTGTAAATATATATAAAATATGACAATAGCAGATCATTTTATGGTACAAGTCTGAAATAATTTCCTGCCATGACATGTAAAATCATGTCAACTAGAAAACTTTCAGTTTACAGGACATTTCCATCAAAATTCAGGGCTATTAAATTTAAACATATATGATACCATATATAGTAAGGCCTACAGAGACAATTTTAGAATTTCAACTGCATATTCCCGGTACAAAAAATTACTTGACACCAATCCATAAGAAATTTGAAAGTGTCTTCCCTAGGTCCCATTATAATAGAACAGCTCTCAGCTTTTAATAACCTTTTGATGTCTAACTTGTGTTGTGAGTTTGATGTCTAAATATGTCTTATTTTATGCATATCAAATAAATTGTTTTAACCTATGGCTTACAAAAATTTCCAGTCCAATCAGCACTGAGTTTAAACTGGTTGCACTAGTACTGCAATATCTGATTAATGAACTTGTCCAGAACAGTAAAGCTTTAAAAAAAAACATCTTTTTAAAATAACTGACCTCCTTTTTGCATGGTTTTCTATTCTTTCTATCTTTTTTATCCAGACCTGCATCAGCTGATCATATCTTTCTGTTAAATATCTCTCCTGAAAGACATGTATAATTTAATTATAATATAACAATTTTATATCTCACATTTCTGAGAAATTAGAAATTAAAAGTACAAAGTAATCTTAAGATGATAAATCACTATACCCAGTGCTTTTCCATATTCTGTAGAGAAATACTAATTTCAAGCTTCAATAAACACTATTTATTTAAAAAGAGTTTTTTTTTTTAAATGATAACTTTATATTATGTAATAGCGATTTAGTTTTTACCCGATCTCCAATGGGAAATCTAACAGTTTACAATATTTTGACAATAAAATCATTTTCAGTCTACATTTTTAATTTTTTACACAAAACAAGAATACATAATCCAATGAAAAATGACTTCAGGTCTGCAAAAAAAATTTTGGTGAGTAAACATATTGATTTTGTCATTTTATAAGTTTTGAATATAATATAATAAAACAGTTATTGTTGGAATTTTAGTGTCAATTTATCCCCCTCTAGAACATTATAAGCGCAGGCAACCGCAAGCAACATAATATTCCTTCCAAGACAATGTTCATTCAAAGACAAAATTCAGGAATATTCATCTATTACCCCTATAAAATTGTTAAAACAACTATAACCATCTTGTAATATTTACCCTGATACGTCTGGCCTGGTTTCTTTTCTTTAGGTGTAAAATCAACCTCTTTTTGAAGACTTGATGGCTGAAAGTAAAAATAATCAAACTAGATATTGATGCAAATTTAATATTATTAATTATTTAGTAATAATAAGGTGACAAATGAAGTCTTCTCTGTTGTGTAACTTACAGTAGGACATATTCACACAGTAAGTTCCAGGGTTTCACATTGACTATTGTCAGCTTGCCAAGGGCAAGTGAATTTAACAATTTGTGCAATCTGCATTTAACATTCAATTCAGTTTCATTTGGAATTCCTGTTATTATCAGAAGCATCTCACCAGGGGTTAAAATTAGTGTGGATCCAAGGTTCAAGACCTGTCTTTTCTGTGAAGGGACTTTTCATTTTTGAATTAAAAGTCAAGAACCTAATTTCTTTACACTAATGCTTTATACAGGACATTTGACTTTCTTTAGGAGAAATTTTCACTTGAAAATTCAAATGGTTCTGAACCTTTCATTATCTAATGCCAAATTTGAACCCCTATTCTCAAAGTAAAATCTTATGACTGCATGCATCACCACTAGATCAATGTCAAAACCATTGTTTTTCTGCTGTTTGTAAAGAAAATAACAGTAATGATGATTAAAATCGGATGACTCTTATTAGACTTATATAAATGTAAATGTACAGCTAGGATACATTAATGAACAAAATGGTAAAATGGTGTGAGGTCTATTCCATTAATATGTATGTGGGAGGGTAGGAATGGAAGTTTAATTATTGAATGTGGTTCAAGGGTCTTTTCTCAGTACGCGTCTATTACCATTATGCAAAATTATCTAAAAAATGGTTCTTGGTTGTAGGGATATTTTGAAAGTCCCTTCCTACCCTCTCACATACATTTTAATGGAATAGCCCTGACCTTGATGAACATTATGTTTAAGAAACATGTCAACTTACTTTGCAATATTATCTTTATAGACCTGTGTATCTGATGGCTGGTTGTAAAGAGGCTGAAAGATATAACATGTGAATAAAATATTACCCATTATTTTAATATATACAAGTTCTTACTTCCAGAAGAATAATAAAAATATCTATCTAATTCAAAAGAAAATTTGTTATTATACTATTGCAAGGGAATTTTTTAAAATATAGTGAATGTCTAATAATGAAAGTTCTTTTATCATCACAAGAACAAAACATAAGTTTGGTGTCTCTCTGACATTCTGTTTTGATAGCCCCTTTCTGTCTGATATCTATACATAATCTTTGTTTTGTTCAACACTGCAGATATCTATACATAATCTTTGTTTTGTTCAACACTGCAGATATCTATACATAATCTTTGTTTTGTTCAACACTGCAGAACTTAGAAAATATGCAACTACTTTTTTCATTTCTTTTCGACATAAACTTCTGAAGGCTATTCATATTTTCATCTGTTTCGAAGTCTGTGACAAATTAAATGGATATATCACAGTGATATCTATTTCTTCTAGAAACCGAACCATCGATGTTAAAATAGAATATAAGATTATTTTTCCTTTACTTAACTCTTAGTTTCCATACTTGTACTACTTACCAATTCTATTTTAGGACCAAGTGTTGCCAACATGTTGTGTGCTTCCTCTGCCTTTTTCTGTAAATAAAACATAACTTTATGATATAAACTGTCTGATTAATAGCTGTTTAATTTCCAACCACAGCAAATACTACATGCATAATCAGGACAATACTATGCTTATTTCTTTGAGGTATACCCTGTTTTGTTTAAGATTTAATTGTTGAGATTCACTGAATTACAGGCTCCTGACTTGGGATAGGCACATGAATCTTTGGAAAATTAATAATTATACATGCATATTTTCATTAAAACATGAGACAAATTTTACCACTATACCCCATTTTTCATGATATTTATCCAATCTGGATAGTTAAACTAATAGTATTCTTTAATTGTAAATCTTTATTTTCATGTAAGTTGGCATTAAGACTTTAATTTAAGTTTGACTAACCCTATTTTCAGCATAAATAATTTGTGCTAAACTTTGGTGTTTGACTTCAGTGTTGGAGATCTGTGGTGTTTCTGTTTTGTCTACTGGTGGCTTGGATGTTTCCTGTTCCAGCTGTCTCTGTAAAAAACAAAAATATTATAAATTCATAATTTCTGTGATGTTTTTATTATTGTGTAAATTGCAAACACATATGTAATTGCAAAAAATAAAATCTTGCATTTTAGATTTTGATAGCATTTTTTGTATGCAGTATTTATTAAAATTGCAATTATCAATCCAGCATTTTTCAAAAATCACAATAATAAATGCATGTGAAAAATTCCGAATTTACAATTAATTTAGCCATCAAAACCGAAATCAACTAAGCATTTCTACAAAGACAAGAATCTGCCAGTACAAAATAACATCATTACCTCAAAAGTAAGATTCAGATATCATATATTGTTATTTCATTTAATTGTGGTAGGAATACAATTTTTAAGGACTGCAGAATTATTTTATTTTTGTGGATACTTGATTTTATTTTTTTAACAAATTCTGCATATAATATACTAAATTGGTTTGTGTTTGTTGAACACTTAAATTTGTGGTTTACCATTACATAACAAAATCCATACCTTTTTTTGTTGAATACCACTATGAAAAATTAACCATGTTTGTTGAAGTACTACTAGTTTGTTAGCTATAATGTGGTTGTGTTAATAGAAAATACATCTTACACTTTTTTTATTTTCTCTTTCAATTGGCCTGTTTTTTCACTCCTTTTTTTTTGCAGTGGCACATAAACCTTGAACTTTTCGTTTTTAGTATGTTAATTTACCAGTTTTCTACCTTTTTTTTCATTGGGACATAAATCTTTGAACTACTTTTTGTTTCATGTCTGTTAATTTACCTGCTTTTCTGTCATTTTATGAAGATCCATAATCTTGAACCTTTTTTTATCCTTCAATAAATGTTTTTCTGTCATTTTTTTTAGACTCAATATAAATCTTGAACCATTTTTTCTTTATTTTTCCATCAATTTACCTGGTTTTTTTTCTATTATATTTTTTAAATGGGACATAAATCTTCTACCTTTTTCTTTTCTCTCGCTCAACTTACATGTTTTTTCTGTAATTTTTGTATTTGTTGTTCATGTTTACTGATCTCTCTATCAGTTTTACTGATGGCTTGTAACAGTTCATCTTTAGTAGTACGACTACTGCTCTCATCAGGTGTTGGAGAAATTGCCTCTACTTGTGGGTTGTATAAGGTCTGTTCCTATAAGTAAAATAGATGTATTTATTTTTCTTAAAGCATTCCTTTTATTGAAAGAAATTGACAATAGGGTGCATCTAAGTTTAAGATTGATTGATAGTTGGTGTTTAACACAACTTTCAGCACTCTAGGCTATCTTACAGCAGTCAATTTTTATTGGTGGAGAAACATGGAGTATCAGGAGAGAAAGCTAAGTTTTAAGAGTTCATCGAAGAACAGTCTCAGTAGATAGAGGTAACAGAGGACAAATCCTGTTTAAGTCTTCATCAAACAGTTAATTACATAATTACATCATCGATAACACATGTAACAACTGTCAGCTGCTGCCCTTTTTAATTTCATTTTACAGCTCAACATTTTTATTATCGTTTTCCTGTACAATTCATAGTTTTCTTTTAATTAAATAATAATTTATCATTCATTAGAATATTCACATCTATGACTCAAAATCTTAATTAAAGACTATTTACAATCCCTACAAAAAGAATGTGTTTGCCAACCAATGACAGATAAAAATTTGTTTGAAAAGGCAAAGCCTTAAGTTCACTATATATATATAGCTAAGTGATACTAAAGGGCCATGAAATTCAGAACTTGGACTAACAGCATTATTTTAACAGAGGATTACTATATGTTATTTGAATGCAAATCTAGTTATTTAAAACCAGTCTGTTTGTTTGCTTATTGTGTCATTACGTCATAACTACATGTATGTACTCTGCTTTTGAAAATATATTTCGGCTATTTCTTTTTAATAATTTTGAGATTTTGGAATCATTGGAAGCCTTCTCTGACAAAAAATATTTTACAAATAATAATAACCTAATACCTTTACACATCTTTTGATCAAAAATATGTTTTTGTCAGAAAGTGTGGCTACTGTTTTAAAAATAGATATATTGCACACAAATTTATGTTGACTAGTTCTAACCTTTTTCACTTCAATATGAAGTGGTTGTAAATCTCTATCAACTTGTAATCTGGGTCTTTTTGGTGGAGTTTGTTGAACCTGACTGGTACTAGGTCCAGGCTCCCCTGGACCTGTAGTCTGTAGATTTCCCATAGCCTCCTGTCTGTAGGGTTGAAATGATTCTCCACTTCTGAAATTATAATGTACAAACTTTATTTTTATTTTTCTTACAGAAGAAAATAACTCTAAGGGCTTCACTGAGAAATATTGTCCAGTAAAACCACCTACATAAATTGAAACTAAATATGAACTTTATTTCACAAACTAAACATTAGAGATCATGATTTATCTATTAGTTGAAATTAGTTTTTTTTATGAAGTATCAGGCCATAAGTTTTCTCGTTTCAATTCGAATTGTTTTACATTTGTCATTTTTATACCTTGCTATAGGATATGGGTTTTGTTCATTGTTGAAGGCTGTATGGTGACCTATATTTGTTAACTTCTACATCAGTTGGTCATTGGGATAGAGTTATCTTGTTGGCAACCATACCACATCCTCTTATTTCATAGAGCTTTCAGTTACTGGGAGTACTCCAAGATCAGTAGTGTTTTTAGTGTTTTTGTTATTTATTTCTGTGTTTAGTACCCATCTGATGAGTCAGTTCCTTTCTCACTAAGATTTACAATTTGTTCTTATGCTGTGTTATTACACCACTCTCCTAGGTATGGGGAGACATGATTGCTCACAAAAATGCTTAGACTTTAATAGATAGTAGTCTCTTTGGCTATCATACCACACCTCATTACTTTTACATTTCTCAAACCAGATACCAGAAACCTAGTAGATTTCTATTTTTAACCAATCAGAGTTTACCTCATGGTGTAACTAAAGACTAACAGCCATTAATGTTTAAGCTATACAACAACTTTAGATGTTCTCAACCCTTACATGTTCCTGTCTCATTAACAATTATACAAAATAGTTTTAATTAGAGCTATTTTCCTAATGCTTGTAGTTTGTTTGCAAGCTAACCAAACCTTTAAACTACAAGGTTTAGGAAAAAAGCTCTAAAACATTCTGGTTTTGACTAATTTACAATTTTTTTTGATTTTTGCTAATAATTATCTCCTACTGTAACAGTCATGACAGTAGCAATTTAACCCACAAACATATCTAATGATATCAAAATCTTTCAAAATTCACTGCACAGTCAAGTCATAACTTAACAGTGATAGAGAAATATTTTTTATGCTTATTTGACCATGAAAAGTTTAAGGCAACAGGCTGCCAGATTATGTCATAAAGAGTATATAAATAATATTGCATAATTCAGGTACATATAATAATCTTAATGCACATTTTAACATATTTTTTTTTAACTAAAATTTTTTAAAGTCCTTTAATATCTTGATCTACTGAACAATTACCATGGTAACTAGTTGACTGATAATCATCAAACTGACATAAAAACATAAAAACATGAAACCCAGACAAATTAAAAAATCATTTAAAAAATGTGTAATCTGTATGAATTGTATAATTAAGATTAATAGTGCAGCTTAGGGTAACAACTGACTGGGTTATGAGCTATGCTGAATGTTTAAAATATACAGCAACTTCCAGTCAGAAATCTGATCCCTTCTATGGGCATGGAAGGGAGAGTGGCAAGATCTCTGCATGTTGAAGAACCCTTGCAACAACATTTTGAAGGGTCTAACATGTACCAAGGACCAACTCTGCCCCTCTTTTTTCAGGGGCAGTTCCAACTTCCTGATTTACATGCCAGTTGGTCCAATGTGAGGAATCTACCTGTTGGATTAACGATAACTTAAATTTTCTCAACCTGAAATTCATGGAATATCTGCCACTGGAGAGAGAGCAAACAAAACTAAAACAATACAACTATACTGGCTGAAATGTTATGAATTCTACATGGTCTTATTCCTTTATACCAAGTTTTCCAGAAGACATGGGGATAAAGATTTTTTTACTTCACTTTGGTCCTCATTGATCTGAGTTAATGTAGCTCCAAAAAATTAACAGCAAATGCTTGTTCAACACAAGACAACAAAAAATAAACAAGACATTATTATATATATTTCAACTTCTAGATGTTCGTATTAATTATTTTTAGGCCCTTTTTGGTCATAAAGCTCTTCAACTGTTTCAGTTCTTATACATTCTTGGCTTTCAAAATATTGCATTGAGCATTCCCAATGAAGGTAAATGTTCTTCAACGCATAACGTCACAGTACCCAAATTGCACAGAGTACCCAAATTGCACCTATTCCAACAAAAATCGCTGCATAAATCTTACAAGTTTCCTTTGAGACTAAATAGTTTGTATTTTTATGATTTGACATTATACACGTCTTTCAACAAAGGTAAATATATTTAAATATACACAAAACGTTCACAGTATATATCAACAGAGGAAGCATTTACTGGAAAAAGTAAATCTTCGAAAAAGTCGCCATGCGACGTTCACAAAAAGTCATCTTTTAAAAATGAGCAAATTAAATATGTTACAAGCATCCAATTCTTAATAAGTTGCTACGCAGAGCGCAGCTGGATAAGACCGCAGAGGTCAAACCCTGAACAGTTTGGGCAAAAATGAATGCAATATTCGCGCTTAATACAGGTCTGAATTTGGATTGTAATTAAATATTTGACACATAAAAGGTTTCTGACAGAGAATAACTGTAGTCAAAGAACTTAGAATTGGTTATATGATTTAAATTTATATTCAATTTTTTGCTTTTGTGCAATACACTTTGCTGTTGCGAACTGAATTCTGAAATGAGAAAAAATTGTTGACCCCCCACAATTTCTTTTTACCCCCCCCCCCCCCCCCCCCCCCCCCTTCCCCCTTTTTTCCCCCCAAAAAATTCTTTCCCTCAAGATATGGTCATAATCTCAATTCAAATTTCCAATAGAGTTTGCAACCATAATTACCCATTTCAATTTACCATAGTGCTAACTTAATCTATTTTATAATAGAATTTAAAGTATGGTGTCAGATCTTTCATATGCATTTTTTTGTAAAAAAAAAAAGATGCAACATTTGCAGATATTTTTACTGGTCTTCCTTTATAAATATGCATTTCTTTAAACATAATTTAAAAGCAGTGTAAGAGAGGTAATCAAAACGTTGTATTTGGATTACCTCTCTTACACTGCTTTTAAATTGTCTTAATTGTTCATTAACCATTACTTTATACATAATTTAAAAGCAGTGTAAGGGAGGTAATTCAAATTACGTATTTGAATTACCTCCCTTACATTGCTTCAAATATTGTTTTGTACTAGAGTATTTGTCCATTAACCAGGACACCCTTGTTTTTCCCCATTTTTTGCCCCTAATTCCTAAACGGTTTGAGCCATAACCCCCCAAATCAAATCCTTACCATCCCTTTGTGGTATGGAAACTTGTGGTACAATTTCAGAGATCCATACACCGTTCCACAAGTTATTGTCTGGAAACTAGAAAAATGCTTATTTTTGGCCCCTTTTTGGCCCCTAATTCCTTAACTGTTGGTACCATAACCCCCAAAATCAATCCCAACCTTCCTTTTGTGGTATTGAACCTTATGGTAAAATTTCATAGAGATCCATTCACTTAAACTAAAGTTATTGTGTGAAAACCAATGTGTCTTCGGATGACGACGACGACGCCAACGTCATACCAATATACGACCGCAAAAAATTATAAAAAATGAATAGTAAGCATGGACTTGTGTCAAATTGTTCTAAATATTTGAAGAAATAAAACAAAACATCTGTTATTCGATTTTCAAGGATGTGTGTTTAAGCATGGATGCAATTTGGGTACTCCTCATTACAGAATCATGGACCATTTGGAGGTGGTTCTAACCCATTTTTCTATGATTCAATATGAATTCAAATTTAAATTGGTGGAACTATATAGTAAATAATGACACATCTACAAAATAAACAAAGAATGGAAACTTTTGTCTGGATCATAAATAAACGTAGGTGAAAAAACTGTCAACATAGGTGCAATTTGGGTACCGTCACGTTAAATTCAATACAGTGTTTTCAGTTATTTGTTTGCTATGTCATGGAAATTTATCCAATATCTATTATTAATACCATACAAACTTCAATAATAAGCATGCATTAAAATCAAACTGATATACATATTTGTAGTTCGTTATAATAGGTCTTTTGACACACTATTACCATGATAATGGATTTTTAATATAGCACTAAATTACTGCAGCAACAGGCCCAACATCCTTTTTTTAAGGAAAAATTTGTATAGATTCTATTAGTATGTAAAAAAAATCTAACAAGCTTTATAGTAATTTTACAAGTCTGGGCTAATAGGCCTATAGTTAAACATGCCTGTAACTGCATGGTCAACATCAAACAAATATTTATAGTATAAGCTACTTATTAAAGTGAAATGCACACCCATACCTGTATCTGTCTATGTTAGCTGCATGTCCATGGAAATCTGTAAGTAACTGGGGACGACGTCTGGCAGTGTAAAATTCTGCTTCTCTATTCTACAATACAAAATATAGTTGTTGACTGGCTTAAAAGTTTTTGCACAAAACAACTTTTCTTAAATTATTTTTCAAGGTGTATTAAATTTACACTTCACCTCAAACTGATTTTGTCATTTTCACATGTCCAGGATGGGCGTGGTCACAGAAAGGGAAAACCTTTGAAATGGCCCTCTGTCACTATCTTATAGATTGGACATGGCATTTCTTTTCTTTCGTCATAAAGATTCAACCTTCTGTACTTTGGCAAGTAAAGCTTTTGAATTCTATACATTTTTTGTATTTTAAAAATAAATCTAAAGTTAGATTTCAGTAAAGAGAAGTAGACTGCCCACAGTAAACAGGTGAAATTGACAAATCTACCTGAACTGTAAAGGACTGTCAACAGTGAACAGGTGAAAATTCCCAAACTACCTGAGCTATATGGTGTACCAAAGTTGATTTAAAAGGTTAACAAGGTTAATGGATTCGTTCTGTATTTTCTTTTGAAAATGCCAGAACCATTGTCAGGAATATGACAATCATGTTCATCCAAAACATATAAAAAAATATATTCACAAACACACACATAGATACTGGCTGAATACTTTATATCCCTGGCTATTGCTTCCAGCAACCTTAATAGAATTCATTTGGAAAAACATCTTTCTTTGCCATGGTCCCAATTTAATAGATAGAAAATAAACATAGTTGACCAGAGTTCAAGGATATCAACAGTTTGTAAACAAAGACTTATCAAACATGATCACAATGTTAAATAAGATGGGTAAAAAGTATGTACACAATATGTGTTTGTACATTAAAAGCACATACTTAATTCTAAGTGAGAAGCCACCAAAAAATGTTGTTTACAATTGTATTTCATAAATGAATATGTGTCCAACTTTTTCTGACCATGTCGTATACAATTGTATTTCAAAAATGAATATGTGTCCAACATATTTTCATGATAATTTTTATTTCTTTAAACAGAATTATCTGTAATCTTCCATACATTTGTCCTTAGTTAAACATAAACTTATGTCATAATTTATAACCTTGAAATTAAAATTTGTGTGCAAGTAGAGAAATTTATGAACTACATGTACAGTATAATTTTTTTAATGATGCTTTTAATCAGATATATTTCTATTTTTACCATGTTTACTGAAAATTTTTCCAGAAAATCAGATAACAAATAGGTACAGGACAAATTTAATAAAAAATATGCACTATAATCACTTTTGAGCGGTAAAAAGACATACATGTATAACATAGTCATTTGCTTACAAATGTTAATTTGTATTTCTTCCTTTTTGCATACATGTATACAGATTCTACCACTGCATCAAGTGTGATACGATATTTATCCATGCGAGACAGTTAAATTTTCAAATTTAAAATGTGAGGCTAATGCCGAGCGTTTTAAATTTTTTTAAATTTAACTGTCGAGAGTGGATAAATATCATATTGCACGAGATTTGGTGTTGGAATCTGTTTCGCTAATAATTTAATATATAGACAATCTTAATCCTTCTTTTCAATTGATCTGCAAAAAGATGTGTTCTTCCTATGTGATGTCATCAGACATGGTCGCCTTTTTTTATGATGTCACAAAAGGGTATTCCAAGGAAAGCACGAACATTTGACATCATAATCGAATTTTGACCAATGAAGAGCTGAGATCAAACGAACCACACGTTGATTAAATAAAAACAATCAACAGGTCAGGAAAAGGATACATTGGGTAAGAATTAGAGAAATATATATCAAAGCAAATATTTTTTACAAATCAACTGATTTCAAAAGGGCTTCAGTTATTACAGATTATTCATGCATTAATTTTTTCTTATTTCAGTACTGTGTATTTAAATACACAAAATGTACTTTATTCAGGCAACACTTCAATCCATTTTAATCTATAAATAGTAACAAAACTTATGAAGGCATAAAAATACATTTAACCTAAACATCAACTAAAACGGTTTACCATTGATGTGGTTAAGTCATTTTGTCTGGCAGATCAATCATTAATTTCAGGTCATTTCTAGGATATTTAAAATTCTCCATAAATACAGAATATAGATATAACAAGCTAACTGATAATTTTTGCTCAATTTTCTCATTGTTTTATTTATTAGCAAATTTTTATTATTATGAAACTTAGTGTATGATGAAATATATGTACTAATAGGATCTCTTACACTTGTAATTAGTCATGGCTACTAATACAAGTAAATTGTTGTTATTAATAATAATATATACAGCAGACATTTATCCCCACCTCATAAAACATGGTAAATTTCTGTAATATTTTATTTTAAACAATATAATATAAACACGCCATTACAGTTTGACACCATATTTCATCATCAGGATTATTCTTGTTTTATAATTCTGTCTAGCAAAATACCCTGTACACAACACTTGTGTTCTGTTTTGAATATTTACATATATTTTGAACCAACTTTTGATTATACGGTTCAACTTTCAGTGCAATTGTCCCTATTAGAGATCCTATTTCTATCTTTATTTTGGAGAGATTTCCTCCAAATTCCAATTGTCATGATTGTATTTGTTTTTCTTTGTCTCAGACCTACAAGCAAAACCAAAATATACAAACATACATGCACTGTTTGAACTTTGTCCTAACCTAACTTGAAACACAGCATTACTGTATATTGCTCTTCATAACTCTGGTTTTATTACTAAAAAATTAACCTAGCATCCAAATCACAAACTTTTGTTGAAATAGGTTCCTGACTTGGTTCAGGCAAATGAACAGGTTGCTATCAGTGTTTACAGAATTAGCCAGTTGCTTGCTAAATAGCTATCTACTTTAATTTTGATTGTCTACTTTTTTATTGATTACAATGTATTATCAAAATCATCAATAAATAAAATAGAGAATGAAAACGGGGAATGTGTCAAAGAGACAACAATCCGACCAAAGAGCAGAAAACAGCCAAAGGCCACCAATGGGTCTTCAACACAGCGAGAAAATTCCGCACCCAGAGGCAAGGCTTCAGCTGGCCCCTAAACAAAAATGTGTACTAGTTCAGAGAAAAATGAGGCCACACTAAACTCCTAAACATATAGATGAACCAAAATTAAAAAAAACATACAAGAATAACAAAGGCCAGAAGTTCCTGACTTGAGACAGGCACAAAAATGTGGTGGGGTTAACATGTTTTGTGAGATCTCAACCCTCCCCCTATACCTCTAGCCAATGTAGAATAAACAAACACATAGCAATACACACTATTTTTACAATGAATGTCAAGCATATGAATTCTACTTTTAAAATCAGCCAGCTTAGTACTTTGCATACTTTCAAATTTAGACATAACATGCATTTGACAGGATTAAACTAGTTTTTTTTTTTTTATATCTCTCTTCCCTCCCTTTTTTAATATGGATCAGAAGAAGGATAAAAGGTATACATAAACAAATATGTGTCCATAGTACATGGATGCCCCACTCGCACTATCATTTTCTATGTTCAGTGGACCGTGAAATTGGGGTCAAAACTCTAATTTGGCATTAAAATTAGAAAGATCATATCATAGGGAACATGTGTACTAAGTTTCAAGTTGACTGGACTTCAACTGCATCAAAAACTACCTTAACCATAAGCTTTAACCTGAAACGGGACAGACAGACAGACGAACGGACGGACACACAGCACAGAAAACATAATGCCCCTGCTACTATTGTAGGTGGGGCATAAAACTATACAATAAAAATCAGCGCTGGAAAAACACTTAACTCAATAACGTATAAGATAAGATATTTTATTTTCCAAATTAGGTCTCATGGGCGGCATATACATATATAAAAATATAATCTTTACAACATACAGTATTTTACATGACATTCATATAATACACCTAAAATATTGATATAGAGTGATACAGGCTATTATATGTTAATATATGGTATATATACATACCAAAAAACACAATTACAGCAAATCAATACTAAACAATATGGAATCAATGAATGCTTCAAGTGACAGAAAGCAGGCTCCAAAGTGACATAAAGTAGGCTCCCAGTGCATGTGTACTTATTAATCATCTGCTGATATGAAATCATGCCATCCCATACTCTATCATCTCATTCTTATGTAAATACAGACATCCTCATGATCATTTTCAAAAGCTGGTGATTATACATAATTGGGTTATCTTTTTTTAGTACATTTTGTCAAAATGATCTTAAAAAGTGTCATTATCTATAATAGTCATGATAGTAGAAATATGCCATCTGATGCTCTCCAAACTGCACATGTTTAGTGGTATTTAGAGAAAATGTGTTTTTATTTCAAGGGTTCGTTATCCTAGTATGCTTGAAGAGACAGATAAACATGTCTACATGTATGATCGCTAATTTATCACCTGTTTTTATGAATTACAAAAGTCAATTCCTAGAGCCATAAAAGCCCATATCATCCTTTAAACAATTCTTTAAAATCTATTTTTAGTAACAGTGACCTTGACCTTTGACCAGTTTACCCAAAAATCAATAGATTTCTACCCCTCCCCAAAAATCTTAAATCTGTAAAAGTTTCACGCAATGGCAAACATAAATAAACTCAAGCTACCATTTTTCCAAAAAGTGTTCTTTTTTTAGTAACAATGACACTGACCATTGACCTATTGACAATGATTGAGTATTGACCCCCAAAATCAATATTTTTCTTCCCATTTCCTATTTTTTCTATCTGTAAAATTCATTTCAATCAAGCAAGGGATTTATAATTACAAACATCTGTTTTTCAGACTTTACTTGTTTCCCTACTAAAACTGTATTTGCAACCATCACATTCCCAAAGGAGGATGCATGGCAAATCTTCAAATCATGCAAATACAGTATTGTTATTCAGTAATTATTTGATGTCTGAAATTGGAAAAGGTTTTAAATTGTTTATTTCTTTCAAAATTATTTTAATTCTATTGATATATATATGTGTATATAACTAGGATGAGTATATCCTTACAGTCTGCACCAAAAATGGTCAT